AACTGAAAGAAACAAGTTTCAATAGCTAAGAGGATGTTTTGCTGTTTCTTTTCAACAACTACTGGTAGTTGTAAACTACCAGTTTGGGACTAGATAGTGAGCTGAAAGCCAGACAAGTCTGGAATTGTTGCTGGCACCAGTTGAAATGAGGCAAAATGTTTTAAATTTCAACAGACAAATTTGAAAATGGCTGGTTGGGAAAAAATGATCACACAGTGCAAATGGTGCATATGTGCATACGTGTACGTTTACAATTGTACTGTTTTTGCATCAAGAAGGCATTATACCGTAATTTAGAAATCAGTTTTCTTGTCAAATAAATTCCATTTAAACTTCAGCATTTATTTATTAAGAGGAGTAGGCCTACTTTCCAGAGACAGGGCCCATTTTGACTCGAATATATGCAATCAGGTGTGGATCGGGGGGGGGGGGGGGGGGGGGGGGGGGGGGGGGGGGGGGGGGGGGGGGGGGGACCCTCCCATATGTCCGCCTGTCCTCAACAATTGGAAAACTTTTAGATTCCAGATGCTCTGTGGTACGATCAGAGGCAATTTCTAGCCAATTTTTTATTAGCAAAAGATCATTTAAACATCCTTTGTTAGTTTTATTTATTTATTTATTTTATTTATTTATTTATTTTTTAGCATGAGAAATCCAGTGGGCGTGAGAGCATGAGAATAACTCGAAAAGCACGAGTCGCACGCTCAATGCGTGAGAGTTGGCAGGCCTGGGAACACATGCTGCTTTTCAAGACGTTCTTCAAATGGGAGTGCGCGAAGATCGCTGCATGTACTATTCTGAAGCTTGTGTGGGACCTGATGTCATACAGTAAATCTCACAGTGAACTGAATACATTCAATGCAGCGCTGTGCTAGTCTCTTGTTGACAGTTTGGCTCAAAATTTGATGCATGAAAAAGACAAATAGTATAGACAAGGTACAAAAACCGCTGCCCAACAAATGGAATTTGTACCAGCATTCCCAATATTTTCTCCATAAATTTGAGCAATTTATGTGACCCAGATTAAAGTAAACAATTTAAAACATCGAGCATGAAAGTTTGTTTCCTGTCCCATTATTATATCAATTAAATAAAAAGGTACGGTATCTTTTATTTAATTAATTTAAAACATGACATTTTTTGCCACATTTTGCCAAATGTGTGCACCTTTAAACCTCATCACGTTCCTTGCCCACGTGTAAATAAGCAACCAGATCTGGGTAAACACATTTACAATCAGCCCCCCCCCCCCCCCCCCCCCCCCCCCCCCCCCCCGATGTGCAGAATCAACTTGCACCGTTTGCATTGCCACCGTTCTGTTAATTTCATCTGTGAATCTTACACGAGCAAACATTGGTTTATTAACGCCGAGTACGTTTACGTGAAACATTTTTGATGGATGACCTGGTTGCTAGAGTGAAGCAAGACACAAACGGAATCTGACGAACATGTTTTTAATTATAACGGTTCATGCACATCTCATTTTTCCACTTTGTCCATCATGCACAGTGTCCCAATTTAAGACCAATCACTCACATTAAGTCCTTCAGAAATGGTAATACTGAATTTTAATGTCAAAAATCCTTATAAAAGTTGCATTCCTGTGCCATATTCATCTTTCATCCAGAAACTCAAAAACCTTTTGAAAATGCAAATTTTCTAGCAACTACATATTCAACGACTATTCGTCGGTGAAGGGCAAATACTTAATTTGATTTATATCACCCCGACACAAAATTCCATCTGATAACTACAAAGTTATTCATTGTTGAATGAGACATCGCCCGAAAAAAATTGGCCCATGTTTAGATTTTGAATTTTGAACTAAATTGGCTGCCAGACAATATCGGTAGTTCCATTATCACGGGTTGTAGTCTGGTTCCTGCCCCACAATCAGTATCGACAATGCACAGACCGCGAGCCAGTCTGCTCACATAGTGGATCTGTTCGTGCCAAAAGCAAAAAACTTTTTTTCAGAGAGTTGTAGACACAAAAAAAAAGAGTTTTGTTTGTTAATGGAATAAATACCTTTATTAGCCCTAACCTTCCCAAATCCTCCGAAATACTCTTTGCAAAAAAAGAGGATTTTGCAGGATTGAGCAAAAACATGTGACTGATTTTGGAGGATGCAATATGTCAAGGTCTTGGGTCGGAGTCGGACCTTGTGTTGTTTGCTCAGCCGTGCATAAATTTAGGCCTAGATTATGCTTGAAATCCTCTGCACTGCTCCAGGATGTCACTGGCTCTGCCTCAACATATTGACAGTGATTACTGGAGGATTTTGCAGGATTGAGGAGGTGATCACCCCTCCAGGGACCACATTCAAAAAATAACGGAGCTAGAATTTTGCAGGATTGAGGTTGCATCCCAGCAAAAATGCCTTGGGAGTAAGGGGTTAATAATTTTTTGAGAAGCATGGGGAATGCGACTTTAATTTCTTGTAACTTTCTTTGGTGGTTTACACAAGGTGGGAAGTTACAGAGTCTGATCTTCCGTTTCACTTTCACTTTTCAACTGGCGACCACAAATTTGTACAAATATTTTGTTTTCATTAACTGCATTCGTGTCCAATACACACAATTATTTAAAAAAAAAGATTGATCTGGATTCTCGACTAGAAAACTCATTGAATCATATAATCTTGGGCCAATCACGTCAATGAACTTTCACAGTGCACCTGTAAGAACATGCACAGGTGCAAATTGTATACACTGTATACATTGTATATTTGTACATGTACATGTACACATGTATACATGTAATACACTTATACACACAATATGTACAAATGTACTAGACTTTGATATTTCCTTGTATTTACGTGAGCTGAATCACGTGCATGTGACAAGTTCTACAGGGAATCGACCTTTAGCCCGGACCAGTCAAATTAAAATCACATGACTCCAATGTGATGCATAAAGCTGTACTGAACTTTTCACTGGAATTTTGAGCACTGAGAATCAGAGGTCATGTGTTTTTGGGGACAAAATCGCTACAACAAGGTCAAAGGTTGTATGTGCTTTGCCAAACTATGGCTATACTTGAACTTTTAAAACTACACTTAAGTGTTTTTAATTTTGGCCTTTTTATTGGAAATTCTTTGTTTGCTCTGTGTCAATCAGCTAAGAAGTGTATTTATAATGCATTCATCAGACTCACCAAAAAGTTGCAATTTCATTCTGATTATGAAGCTACTTTTTTCCCTCTTTTTGCTGGCTTGTATCAACTGTGTGAAGAACTTTTTTCCGTGTAATCTTTAGACCTTAGTCACCTTAGCAACAGGCACGTATGTAACTTGCGATAGCAACCCCCGGCCCAGAAAAGAATGACCTGATCAATTCGGAACCAAGGGTTACGATTATTGTAACACAATGATGCTACATGTATTTAGTTACAAAAGGTTTTGTTCCCCTGGACATGCAACAGCAAGTGGTTTTCAAAACTTTGGAATGAAGTTGATCATGATCAAGGTAATCAAGAAAATCATAGGAGGATGCAAGGGGTGCGGGGAGGTGTGAGCCCCCCCCCCCCCCCCCCAAAAAAAGAAAATAAATATGCCCCTATATCATATTGCAATATTGATATTAAGCCATCAAGCCTTGGCAAAGATGGTCTAGCCCAAGAAAATGAGTTGTTTGTCTCAGAGTTACTTAGCCCTCCTGCTGTCTGAACAGTCACAGACAGTCACAAAATCAATCCTCTTCCCCTGCCATGCCTTTTACACAGGCTAGTCACCAACAGTCAGATCATAATTCAAGCAGAGCACTACTGACTACTGTGACTAGTCAAATCCAGTGGGAAAAAAGCAGGCAAGTGGTACGCACAGCTGGCTTATCAATCACCTACAGTCAAAGCGTAGCTGTATCAAGTTACATAAACAGTCACAGCCAGTCAATCCTGCTTTGTAGGCTGTGAGCTCTTAACTGTTAAAAACAGGACTTCGCTTGACTAATTTTGACTGAAAAGACAACTTTTGTTGCATTGTAACATGTAGGAGGGTACACTTAACATCAGGGAGAGCTACCCCTAGAACCATGGGGGTCAAAAGTAACCCCCATAGATTTAGGGGTGGATTCTTTCAATTCAATTCAATTCAAAGTACCATTTATTTCTCAAGTGCAGGCATTTGTGGAGTTGCTTTTCAATTTCAAAAGCCAAGTTCTTTTTTAGGTTGAAACTAAATAGGGCAACGAAGCATTACGTGCACTAATTTAATCTTTTCATTAGCAGGTGCGTTTTCATCAGTTGCTATGCATTACCATTCAGCCCTCAAGACTCAAAGAGTCATTCAGTTTTATGAAAATGTGTCTTCGACGAGATTTATAGGAGATTTCACAGGTTCCTGGAAATTCGCACCCCACACCAACCCATTCTCAAACTCATAATTAATTAATTAATAATTAATTATAATCAATCATGGGAAAGAATGTAGCATCCAGACGCCACTTCAGCGGTTGTGTACAAAGTCTATGGCGAATCAAGAATATTTTTAAATATTCTGTACAGAATTGGGAATGTTTCTCACTCAGTCCTAGATTCATGTCTTTTCAACATTTTTGCAATGACTGGCCTTCATTGAGATAAAATATGATGAAAACAGTGGCGTCATGATGCAGCATTCTTTCCTCGCATCACCTTCTCACTTTTTTTCTTTTTTTTTACTTATGATCAAAGTGTAAAATTATGCAAAATAAAAGGCCAAAAACTTAAGTTTAAAACATGATGAAAAACCTGAGTTAAGTTAAAAACAAAATCATTCTCTTGTTGACACTGGCAAGTGGCATGACTGGTAAAAGTAACACAATTACATATCAACACAGTAATTATTCAAACTTTATATTTCTAACCCTTCTTGCACAATTTTGAAGCCCAAAGGCAAGCAAAAATCGATTGCAAATCGTCGTAAACTCCCCCTTTGCAATCGCAGTAAAGAGTCGTTAACTGTGTGGAATTTTGCAGGGCCAAAAACCCCTAAAAACCTCGGAAAATTAATAGCTCACCTTCAAAACCCACTTGTCCATACCGATCGGCAAATTCAACGACAACGGATTTGGATTGCTCATGATGGAAGCTTGCTTACTCACGTCCCCCGGTACGGTCAGCGAAGTAGAGCTTGTGCTAGAGCGATTTATGCATCGAAAAAATTAAACAGCTTCGGTGAATATGATCATCATAAATAAAATCCACGTAAAAAGATAGGAAGTACGGTACCCTCTTCTTCTGGTCGAACTGTCCTTTCTTGTACGCGTGTTTAATTATCGAACTGGTGAGCGTAGCCAGACTACATGTATCGTTCAGGTGACTTAACTTTGACCCCGACGTTTGGCTCTTACTTTGCCACCAGGGAGAAATATTATTCTGAAAATATATTATTAACAGTTTGATACACAAACAAATGAAGGATTTGAAGCTAAATTAGCAAATGCAGATCGAGAACAAATTGAAGGTGAGTATAAGGTATAATGGATTCTCTTTGTTAAATTGTTATGCCTCTTGTCACCAAAATGAGGGCGGCATTAAAGGGTTCCAGGGACCGGCATCCTGAGGAATTTTTTAGGGGGGGGGTAGGCCCGTCAGGTTTTTGTGTAATCTGATTGTTGCGGACAGGCCGACATATAGGTAAATGCAGCATATTGCTTATACGTAATTTTTTTTAAACAAAATTTGTCAGAGCGGCGGGGGGGGGGGGGGGGGGGTCGACATCCCATCTCATCCGGGCCTGGGTTTGCGGTTACATATCCACATCCAGAGGACACTTTAATTAGTTTCATTCCTACCTCCATGGTTTCAAAGTTCTTCGTCCCAATAGTAAAGCTTACCCCATTTTGAGCAAAGTATGAGGTTTATATATATTATAGAGGTGTTTTACAGAAATGGATTATTTCTACCATCGCGGGTCGTTAATTTTGTGATTTTTTACATTTATCCCCTTTTGCATGTTGCACGATTATGTACTGATCAGTGGGTTGAATTATTTGCTCCAAAGCCCAGCAAGCAAAATTCGGTATTCTGATTAATTCAATAAATGACAGTTAGATTTTCAGTAGTTGTATTTTAATCGAATTTGGTCAACTACGCGGTACTACAAAACGCTACTACTCGTATGATCAAACGAGGGCGTCCTTTATCGACACCGTTCGCATTGCGGCGAAATTTCTCACTGGGGAACATGCGCACCAAAGTCACAAGGCATCTGAATGACTACGGCTAGTCTTTACACGTGCACCTATGGCAGTGGCATGAAGCCACTTTCCATAGATACGTGTATTAGTGCCAGCGTAACCAAGCAATTTCGACGCGGCTCCAGCTAGCTGGTTTCACCCTATTATGTAACCAGTGTATCATGTTATTAGAGTGATGAATTGATAAACGAAGTACCAGTCAAAAGGTTAGGTCACCAATTTGCGAACGGTCCGGTCAGCTAGGTCACTCAAACTTTTCTGAGAAAGTACATGAAGTAACGTGGAGCAAAGTCCTTCTTCCTGCACGAGTTTCCTGTCAAAATCGGGAAAAACTAGAGTCAACGACAAATATTTCCTGTAACCATCGAAGACGAAGTGTAAACAGCAGTGACGAATGGGTGAAATAGCACGAATAAAGGGGGAAATTTCTCGGTGCATGTCGGGTGACGAGGACAACGGTCTCCTCGACGGAGTGGGTATGGACTCACCGGACGCGGCAGTGAAAGTTGCCCCGGAGTCCGCGTCGAATCACGGCAGCCCAGCCATGCCAGCGAAGGAGAAGAGGCGTCCCTTGGTGAAACAATCACGGAGTATCTCGCAGGACAACAGTAACAGCGAGTTCCACGATGGGCCTCCGGCAGAGCTGATGGCACTTCGCAGAAAGAGTGATTTTCAAAGGAGAAGGTCACCATTGGAGTGAGTAAAATTTTTTTTTACTTTTGAATAAATTAGGCTTATTTTTTTATTGACAAATGTGAGAAAATGAGAACGGGGTGACTGATCAAAATAGACGTTCAGGGAAATATGTGACACCGTCAAAGTCGTATAGCAAAAAAAAGTGAATTGCCTTTTTTGTTTCACCGATTTGGTAATTGAAAAGATTTGCTAGGCTAAATCTTTTGTAAACTTCATCTGTTTAGCATAGTTATTTTAAAGTTATTTTTTAGAGTTGTTCCATAACAATTATTATTATTTATATCGGGCTTCAAGCGGTAAAAATTAATCAGCGTATTGCATGCTTTCATAAAAAAGTACCCGAATGACTACAATAACATTATTATTGCAGTCATCCGGGCATTTTCGCTGCACTCGTCTTCGGCTCGTGCAATATTTCATGCAATATATTCTTGTATCCACCTCAAAGCCATCCAATATTATATAAATATTATGGTTGATTATGGTTGTGTTATTTTTCTAATTATGGTTGTACATGTATCAATTTTCAACAAGTTGAACTCATATTTAAATCTTAAAAAAATTACTGTTGCTTTTGAACAATGGCAACATAATTATATAGAGACAGAGAGAGTTAGGAAACTTCCCCACAAATACTAATTATTTCAATATATTGTTGCTTAATATTTTGACAGTCCAAAAATATATGCTATTTTGGTGGCCAAACTCACTATAATTATAAATGGAATAAAGAGACAAGTGTACCATAATTAATGATTTGAAACAATATTGGCCCTTTTATTTTGAAGGGACAGAAAGGTTGCATTATTGGCCCTTTTATTTTGAAGGGACAGAAAGGTTGCATTAAAAAGAAAATTGCATATCAGATGATAGTACAAAATTGCAGATTTAGCTGAATTTACAATTTTGAAACTTCATTACTATTTCTAAAGGATTTTCTGATGCATGAAAAAATCTCAACTTTACTCTGTGTTTAAATTTTTATCATAATGTTGATGGGAGACAGAAAATTGCTGTTCAAGAAAAAAAAAAGCCTCTTCTGATTTTTTTGTTGGAAAATAAACGATTTTGAAGTATGGTTCCGATGCATGGATTTGTGTCGTAAAGAGGAATATTCATGCTTGTAATCTTTCTTGTAATTAAGGGCCTAGTTGAAGCCTAGGGCTACATTATGACCCATCAAAATCTTGTTCAGAACTAATCTGATTTTAGCTTGAACTTAGAGGGCATGTGTTGCAGAGTAGAAATAACAGAAAAGAGTAGCAATTGAAGACAATAATTAAAATAATAATATCTTGGAGAGACTTTACAGTTTGGAAATTCCGGCATTAGGGAGAAAATGTAATGTCCATGACAGAGTCAATTAACCAGTATAATTAATGATTCAGAGAAATGATCCCAAACTCCTAGTCTGTAATCTCTTTGACCAGTATGATGGATGTAGGCAAGATTTGAAAAGGACATTTTCCGGTTTATTCACACAGCTCTGTCGTGTCACGCACATTATATTTTCTTCCATATGAGGCTGGAATTGCCCAGTTGTGGAATTTCCAAACATTGTAAGAACTGATTGATGGAGCTTGGACCACTTCCTCTGGCGGGCTGTTCCATGTGTCAACATGTCAAAGATTGTGCTATAAAATTTATTGCATTACTTGGTATAAATTGACATGCATGTATTGTGAAAGCTAAGGGCAACATGCATCAGGCACACTACATTTCTTCAGATGGTAGCCACACAGTCTGTGCAACACCTAAATAGGCCCTGAAATGACTGGGAACCATTTCCCATTGTCATATGGCCTCGGGCCACTCGTCCACGAATAACAATTTAAATGACAATGCTTTCAACCATGAAGAGGGTAAATATGTTTTGAAGTCCCACTGGTGAGTCCTTGGCTGAAGAACAGGATACGTAAAAGTTCACAGAATTTCAGGGTCTTATTTCAGAAGGCAAAATAGTGGTTAGACCTTGGACATTCACCAACCATCCAGGATTTTACCATAATTTTCCCAAATGAAATTTGTACGTCAAGTTTCTAAGTGCATGTTGCACATTGATTGTTCTACTGCGGATCATGTTGAGACCATCATTTTGTGTTGTTTAATTTGATAACGTTTAATGAATTACAAGGTTACTTGTTTTTAAAGTTTCTTTCAACTTCAAGAATAATTTTGTTGGCAGTGAACAATAAAAACCACATTTTTTTTTATACGGAACCTTGTTATTGGCAATATGTCATACCCATTGCTGTAATAATAGTTTGAAAAACACCAACTTTTTGTGCGTTTCAAATTTCTAGTGTTCACATACACTTTAGCTGGTTTGGTCTGACAAAGTAAACCCTGGGCTGAGGCTTATACTATAGTGCAGTGGTTTATTACTAAATAGTGCTTGTAGAGTTGTACTACATGTAGGTCCAGGCCTCCAGCAGGGCCATAAGACTTGTACCAGGATAAAAACTCTCTTCATATTCAAATGAGTCCGGTGGATGGATTCTAAATGTTCAGCCAGGCAGCAGTAAACCCATGAAACGGGCTACGGTACAGATCAGCTGATGTTTATTTTTTGGCCCTACATTGTAATGTACACGTTTATACATGTACATGTACATGTACTATAGGGCTACTGTACTGTCTGTTTCCTGTTGGGAACATGTCAAATTTGTACATGTTCATCATGTACATTGTAGTTGGGTGTTTTCATTTCCTTGGCTCTTTGTACATGTTCCTCATTATTGTTCTACTTTGCAAAACATGCATGCAACTTGTAGCCATGGTGACTGAAGGGAAAAAAGTGCTATTTTCCTTGCTCCATGATAAAACTTTGTTCCATTATACATGTTATAGTATAATCAATGGTAAACATTCATGTGGTCATACACGTATAGCGATGTAATTCTGCTACCACTACCAGTACATGTACTGTGTACATTATGTACATTATTTTGAGCTATACTGAGCAGCTTAAATTTAACATCACTCTGCTAAAAATATTCGTCAGAAATCTGCAACAGATTTAGTTTTGTTTTTTGTAATGTTTGGAATTGTAGCGAGCCCAAGGCTGAAGCTATGTGGGGGAGGGGGAGTACCAGGGTAATTCCCCCTTTTGAGGAGGGTGTCTCAGTTGTAAGATCATACCAATTACCAGATTACAAATCTTGCCTCTTTTCCTGGAAATGTTGGTGTGTTTGATATTTTGTTACGGGCAACAAATATGAGTTTGTCTAGTTTAAGTTACAGTCACTATGTGGACTTGTGAACAAAAGATGTCCACATAATGCAGGTTGTGTTGACGTTATGTGGACTAAGCCGTGTCCACATAACGTTTTGCCCTCTATGGAAAACAGGTTTAGAGGCATTTTTGGGTTAAATGTGTATCTGTGGCGAAATGAAGAGAAACACTAAAGGGAATCATAGAAAAAAATTGGGGTTGAAAGAGTTTTTATGTAAAGTTATTTTTTGTACCAAGTTTTCTTGACTACACGAAAACAAAGGAATGTCCACATATGTAAAACAAACGTGGGTGTACGTGTACGTGAACTATGTACCCCGAGGACAGACAGACAAAGGGAGAACAACAGATTCTTTGTTGTCCTCGTGATTTCATCTTTTGTTGAAATCGGTCCTCGGTCATGCGTTTGTGTGCTTAGTCTATGGGAGAGTGTTATATTACAGGGACAAAGGAAAAGACAAAGCATTGTCCTCGAGAGTATAGTAAAACACGACTGTGTGTTTACACGTGTGTTTATTGGTATTTCCTACAAACACACACCCTCTGTGTATTGCCAATCTGAAAAACCCTGACACTCAGTCACAGGTATCCAAAGGATCAAGATAAAATCTGCTCAATCATGCTGTCTTTCAATCATTACACAAAAGTTCAGTAAGCTAGTCAATGATTGACTTTGCTCTTTAGATAGAGTATGCATTGCATCCTTTCAGATGAATTCCAAAAACCATGATGAAGCAAATATGTGACGTGTTCTGGCAAAAAGCTGGGCACCGGCCGTAGTGGAGAAAAATGCACACACAAAAAAAAAAAATGGGGATGATTTTTTTTCTCAATTTTCAGATTTATTGATATTTGTAATCTTTGATATACAGTTTTTTGCACATGTACACATAAAGAAATAGTAAAAAAATTGTGGATTGAAAGGTTTTGTTAAGGAAAAACAATTTGCATCTTTCATTTTTCACGAATACAGATCTCGAAACTTTAAAGGTCTTTTTTCGCAGTATTTTGCTTTTTTGACATGTCGATAAATGCGAACTTTAAACAGCCATAACTTGTCAATGAAATATCTGATTGAATTGCAACAAACAGTGTTGTAAGGAGAATTCTATTAGATCTGGATACCCGCAAACCCTCATTTTGACCTTTGCCCAGTTCTGTCTCATTTTGCGAGAACGCCTCACATTTCAGACAGCATGATCTATACACAGGATACACGATATCGTCTGAAATTTAGTTGAGGAATGAACTGCCTTCAAGCACAATTACATATTTTTTTCTTGTTTTTTCTTCTGTGGCATCACCATGGTTTTTCTTTCAAAGCACCACAAGTGCCTGTGTGTGTACTTGTAGTGTGTTGAGCCCTGCTTGGAGATTGGGTTCGTACCGGTTCTGTCCGGATCATCGAAAAGCAACAAAATCCCTGTAGCCCTTTTAGAACAGGATATATATGTTTGGGACAGAAAAGGGGATTTTCTAGCTTGAACTGGGAGAAAATCGTCATGGTGATAAGGATTCTAACGCTGATGGAAAGTGGCCAAGGTGTGTGGGATGTGAGTAACTTGTAGCGGTGTTGATTTCTGGGGCGTCATATAGGCCTACATGCTGGCAACCTGCGAAGTCAATTCAGCTGATTGCAGCATTCACTGATGCGGAACACTGAATAAAAAAGCCATTATTCCTGGAACTTATTCCTGCATAGTGACAGGCGGATTACGTATGTACATAGTTGGCAGACCATGCAGATTGACTTATGCAGAGTGTTTATCAGTCAATTTCGTGAGACTTGCAATCTCTATCAGATGCTCATGGGTTGCAGCTGAACTAGTACTACAATGTACGTATTACGTACAGTATAGAATAGCTCATAAGTACAGCGTGTAAGTCTGCCGAGTTTGTGCTTTCATCAGTGTTGGGAAAAGCACTTTGGGGCGACAATGAGTTGCAATTCAGTGGCATGTTGCTCGACGGAGCCGGCCAGCGCACGGCCGAGGGGCAGATGTTCCACACCGAACACGCCAACCAAATCACGACGGAAGAGGTGAGTTCATGACCTCCGCTTGAGAACTGTTGAGGGCGTTTTGCAGATTGTTTGTGTTTTAGCCAAGGAGGAATGCATTGATTGTGTGCACTGGTTTACAAGTATGTATTGAGTTGAGTACGGTCAACCAATTTTTCAATGATGATGTGCACATAGACATGCATGAAATGGACGTGTATTTGGAAAGTACAGTACCATTATGTGTGTCTTACATGTAAAACATTTTCAATATTTGCACTGCAGGCCTCACAGCAAAACCTATAAAAACCTATGAAAACCCATATTGCAACGTGGGATCCTAAATAGATATTATTTTCAAATTACCGGGGTAATCTATCTATTCTAACCTTTACAAGTCTACCGGTATTTTTTTTTTTTATTCTTTCATACTTTTTTTTTTTTATTAAAAAAAAAAATATCAGTTTGAACCTCAAGTTAACTAAATCATGATGCCAACATACCCGGTAACAACATATGTTCTAAAAACAATTTTTTTTACAAGTGTTTTATACATGCACCGTAATTGGGTTAAGTACACCGACTAGTGACATAATTATTGCAAGACTGTAAGAAAGTGACATTTAATTTTCACTCACAGTGACCTATGCACGTCAATAGAATAATCTCCCAAATTATTTTTGAAATCGGGTTGAGAAAACCTGTGAATATTTTTAGAATTCCTCAACACTCATTAGATATAAAAATAGTCCCCTCAGCTGCAGATTAGGATTAAAATAACATCAAGTGGCTTTATAACTTTATCAAAGGTCCTGCATTGGCAGTGTTGAATAACAGGGGAACATTGATAAAACGTGATTAAGAATAGCCGGGCTGAGATAAGACAAGATATGATACTTGCATGGTTGTTATCTCCTGGAATATAAAGTTACGCTAGGACTTCATTTTGTTGGGAGTGAGCATTTGGTACACCCATAGACACCACCTCCCATCTCGAAGTGTCTCTGCGCTTTACAAGTCTGCTCTATACTTACAACGTTTTTGCTTTTTACTTCGCTCCATGAAAAGATTTGCCTATTATTATTCAATGACTGAGGGTTCACCTTCTTGTCTGCATTCGTTAGTCATCCACCATCTCTAGCAAAAGCATACAGCTTCATCGGTGAAGAATAGTGATTGGCAAGGATATATCTTCATGAGGAACGACGGTGCAGCTTCATTGCTGAAGATACATTGAACTTGAAGCACAGAGTTTGAGACATTCTTAAGAAAAAAAATCTGGACTGCTATAGTACATACATGTAGATGCTAATAAAGAAGTCTCATTCCTTCATACTCATAGTACATGCATGTACATGTAGATGGAAGGTTGAAACCTTTCAAAGAAATTTCTGAAGTTAAAAACTTGCCTTCAACATTGTGCCGCATGAGGCAGTAAAACGGTCGGTCGTGTCCTTCCTTGCTTCCTGGTGTTTGCAAGGCCAGCAAATTTTAGCAGTGGCTATAACACTTGACCAGCCAGCACAGTGAACTCACAGACCAAGGCACCAGTCTACTGTGTAGTGTTGTGCAGTTGTGAAAGTGGTACTGTCACCTTTCACTAGAATTTTCTCCTTGAAAACTACAGGAGTACAGTATTGCCTCAGCATTCTTGTGTACATCTGTGATTTGCATGCATGATAAAGGGTGGAGTACAGAAGTCTGTTGATGCCAAACCTACAAATGTCAGAGAAATATGACATCTTTGCCTTCATAAATTTGTACAGCACATGGATTGTTTTATTGCACAAAAAATCTGCTGACTGTATATGCCCGGCCTGAACTGAAATAATCAATGTGACATTTTTAACCTGAGGATTTTTCTGAGCATGTCTATAGACCTCGAGCTGTTTCGCCATAACATGGCATCAACGTCGAGTTCGAACAGCGACACGTTACTGATCGTCGGCGATGCACTCATCATTGTCGCGATGGCTATTGTAATGGCCGTGGCTTTATTGAAGCATCTGATGAACCACGCTGTCTAGCAACAAACAAGTGTTTCGGTTTTCTTCGGGGAAACAACCTTGGCAAATGTACTCATGCCTGCTTTCTTTGTGCCAATGACTTGGTTTGACCCTTGTGTTTTGCTTCTTCTGTATGATGCTGTGACAGTCCTCACTATGTCTCTTGTGGTGATAGTCTATGGTTTGAATTTGTTGTTTCAGTGACGAGGATAACGAACAGATAAACAAGATTTGGAATTTTTCTGTGACTTTGAAGAACTCCATTGTCAACATAGTCAACATGTTGGAGCTACTGCAAGATGCTTGATTATCATTTTAGTGTCAGTCATTGTGGTACATGTATTGTATGCCATGACATTTTGCAACAAAGCACAGGCTTATTAGATGAAATTTCATCTGTTTGTCAACAAACTTGCAAAAATGTTGGAACTGTTGCAGAACGCTTCAATAATTGTCTCCCTGTCGCTCACAATGCTGCTGTATGTGATGTCATCATTCACGCAGCAAAGACTGTAAACAAACAAACAAACAAACACCCAAACAAACAAACAAATAAATGGAAAAAAAAACTGCAATTGTGTTTTGATTGGCGTACTGAAAAGAAACATCCAGACTACATTCTGAATGTTGTCTGACAAACTGTTCAATGTTTTTGAAAACATCTGCTTGTACATTGAGAACATCTGAATCATCCATTGTATGACCATCGATCCATCGGATGTCATCAATGTGGAATTCTCGAAAAGATCCTTCTAGACTCGCCCAGCATTACGCAACACCCACCAAAATCCATGGTCAGGCGACACATCACAGGCTAAAATCGAACTGGCATTGATTAACCTAGATATATAGCCATAATCGAACTGCCAACTCAGCTGACTGACTGTGTAAATATCACGCAACCAAACGGTTTTAAATGTGTGGTACATGTATACAAGGTCGGAGGTAGATTGGGTTAACCATTAATTTCTGCCTATGCAGGACTTGTGTACGTGTTCACGCCATACCTATGAGTATCTGCATGGTTTAGCGGTGGTGTGATCTTTGCTGTGTCTTCATGTTTTTCTTCACGGGCAGTTCAGGGAAATCTACCAGCAGATTTGGCTGTGAATTATGAGTCATGTATGTGTGCTAATAATAAATCTCCATTATTATAAAGTGAACCTACAGGAGAACTGCCGTGTTATTGACTGTACATAATGTACATGTACATGTATGCATTCCATTTGGAAATTTTACACTGGACAAACACAGGAATGCAAATGTACTTGTAGAAGTGTCAAACGATAAGACCTTGTTGATTTGAATGATATCTTTGGCATCAGTACGTATAAACTGCGCTCTAATTAAAATTTCTCGGAGCACATTCCTGCACGCGTTAGTTATCACACCCGAAATATTGGAACGGACGTGTACCGATCTTTAGGAAGAATTATTGATTTTGCACCGGAGTCTGTGGTAGTCTGCCTCCATCGATCTAAGGGTGGTTTCGGTGTGAGGACGTCTATCTCTCATTTGTTGTTGTTTTCGCGTCGCCTCTGATCCCACAATGCAGTTCAACAGTCACTGTTCGGGTTCCTGCATGGATAGCTGTTGTGAAGAGTGCGGGGAGGAATTCGCCAACTGCCAGTGCGGAAGGTGAGTCTGGTATTCTGGCTATGGTATCCCTATCTTTTGTCTAGAGGTACATGTATCTTTGACAATTAAAACTACATTGGACATGGGAACATTCTGGCATTATGGGCATATCTAGCCCCATAAATGTGGCCTATTTACTGGACTGCCTCCGTAAACATAGGCCACACATCCACATGTACAAAAACGTGTCGACTTTGCCAAATTTTGATTTTCGCATTTAGGCTTAGTTTGTAGTTTATTTTTGCTTTAGATGCATACTTACCCTCTTTATAGGCTACTCAGAAAGTGCTGCCTTTTTCAGATGTATATTTTTCGTGAAATTTCCAGATTCATTTTTACATGTTTGCGTATCAAAATTTCAACATGAAATTTCACAAAAATTAGACATCTGAAAAAGGCAGCACTTTCTGACTAGCCTATAAAGAGGTCGAGTATGCTTCTAAAGCAAAAAAATCCTACAAACTAAACCTAAATGTGAAAATCAAAATTTGGCAAAGTCGACACGTTTTTGTACACGTGGATGTGTGGCCTATGTTTACGGAGGCAGTCCAGTAAACAGGCCACATTTATGGGGCTAGGGCATATCCACAGCTGTGGACAACCATTTCTTTAAGTTATACATACATGTACATGTACATGGCCTATTCACAGTTGCTTTGGTGTTTTTAGTTCGGGTATTTGTGACTTTGCCATAGGGAGTGGCTTACCAGTTTATATTGTATAAAACGTACGAGTATTAATCATGTTAATGGAGATACATCATTATTCAGCTTGCCGCCTAGAAAATTTGAAATCTACGATACTTTCTTCTGCATTTTAAGGCAATATGAGAATAAATTTAGGAACTCTCTAATCCCATTTGTTTTGTGGGTCGCCATTTTACTTGTTTCATAACATTAGTCGGGGGGGGGGGGGGGCTGTTGTGAGCTGTTGTAAAAATTGGACACCCCCCCCCCCCCCGATCTGCTTCTTTCACTGAGTTGATGAATCATGCAAAAAGTTGGTTTTATTTTAGATGAATAAATAAGGCTTTGTTCCATTTTTCGCCACACATGTAATCTCCATCTCATCTCAACTCATCCTGGATGGATATTGTTGTTTAGGTTTATATCCAAATCTTCTTCATTCATTCATTTTCATGATGACTTGATGAGTTGGGCCCAACTGTCCCTGTCGAGCATAGTGTTGGACAGAGATGGACCACTCAGACCAGTTTCTAGCTCGATGGATGTGTTCAGGGTCATGTTGGGACGACCTTTTCGTGGAGGGGCTTCAGGATTCCAGAGGAGAACTTGACTAGCTGGCTCATTATGTCGATAAACGTGACCGGCTAGCCGAAGGCGACGCTGTCTAATGGTGGCGGAGATAGGGGGAAGGGCACCATACAGAACAGATACATATTAACCCCTCATGTTTCATACATTACTAGGCCAGTCACTGTTATGTATTCAATGTCAATGCTGCTTTCATCAAATATAAAAATTGGTTTTTATAAGGATATTGACGTCATTTTATACTTGCCTTCGTGGTCAAATCTTTCACAAAGGTACAGGCTGGACATGCAGTGTGTCTTTGAAGACTTTGATCCATTGTGCATCCTGGCCAACCATTACATGTTTGGTTAATCAATTTATCAATCTGAATTGAATTTGAAAGGGTCAGGGTCACTTTTTTAAATGGATGAAAACAAAATCTTTGAGAGAATCCATTGTTTGCTGACAATCTGAATAAATGATGAGGGACCCACTAGTACAGTGTACAATGTACATCAGAATCTTGCCACCTTACAACCTGTCTAACCGTGATTTGATGTACGGACAATAATTATGTTTATCAGTTTTTCATTATTACTTTATAAAAAAAACATGTATTTTACTTTCCTGGCTGAACAATTTCCAGTATTATATGGAAATTGTATCAGATGCCACTGTACTCTGTACAATGGAGGCAAAACTATTAATGGACTCCATTTTAGAATCTTGTTAGTATACAGCGACATTTGTTAATGGGAGGCGAAATTTTTATTTGAGGAAATGCTGAGGTAATGTTTGGACAACACATGCGTGCATACGATACTCACGAGGAGCATATCAAACAACTTGGAGTGGTATCATGTGACCTGGGACCCCTATGTCATGTGACCCTATGTCATGTGACCCTACGGTATCTCGTCCTTTCCTCCCCTCCAATCCATCTCTACCACTCTGAGGTTATCAAGTGATATCAGGGGAATTAAATTAAGACCTGATAAATCCTCGCTTAAAGGCTTTGAATGGGATAAAACCCTAGATACTAGCCGCCAGCGGGACTTGACCAGCCATTCCCGTTTCCTTTGACTGCACCCGAGGAAAAAGCAATAAATCTTTCTTACAAGCTGACGAAAACAGGCCCGGGGTGGTATTGATTAAAAATGCAAAATTAAAAACCTCTGCAGCTGAAAGTCCTGGGTCATGTACTTCTCATCTAGAGTGATATATCCTCAGGAACCTCTGTAATCACTCCGTCACGTGCACTTTCTGCAGGGGATCGCAATTGATCCTGTTTTGATGGTGGATATTTTCTGAGAAAGATTTGACTGTAGTTAAGGAAGTTCATGCGTACTGTACTCTTCAAGGCCACTGTGGGGGCGGGGCAAGATGTCTGCAATCAGGAGGGGGTTGGAGGATGTGAGCCTCCTAAAAGCTCCTGCCATACCCTTCTCTACCCTATGACCCTATTCTGACCCAACAACTTAACTCTACCCTGACCCCACAATCTTATACTACCCCATTCCAGCCTTCTGTCCCACCTGCACCGCTCTTTTTGCCCCACCCCTCTGGCCCATCCGTGGCCCTCTCTGCCAATGGTGCCCCTCTCTGCCCAACGTGCCCCTCTCTTCCCACCTGCGCCCCTCTCTTCTCACTTGCGTCCCTCTCTTCCCACGTGTGACCCTCTATGCCTATCCCACCCCTCTGTCCCAACTGCACCCCCTCTGCCTGCCCCACCTTTTCTTCCTTCCCCACCCCTTCTTCCTGCCCCACCCCTTCTTCCCGCCCCACCCCTTCTTCGGTTCTTCCCACCCCTTCTCTTGACCCACCCCAGTTCCCCCACTGCAAACCGCAAGTCAGTAACCTTCTCTAGACCGGTAATTCAGAAGATAATTGACAACAATGACGGGACAATAGGGCAGTCCTGGGAACAAACCAGTTAACATGGGCCAGAAGGTGAAGGTAAGCGTGAATAGGTCATCTGCCCCAGTACACTCTACTGAATGGGATCTAGAGAATTTAAATACCGGTACCATTTCTGGCCTTGGGAACTTTTCCGCCCATAATAACCCATTCAAGGCTGCCTCCTAGGTCCATTGTACTCTATCCCTGAGCCCAGCATTCTGTGACCAAATAATACGTCATGCAGCCTGCGCATTATGCACTGAAAATCTCTGTGAGAGTGGCAGGATTGTTGTATTTTTGTGAACTTTGCTGTCATTGAATGCAAAGCTTTCTGTTCACTTTAGTTGAGGCTGGACAGTTCGAGTCAGTGTCAGGTTGATACAGCTATAAATCTTCTACGCATTTGCTTAAGATACGTGTTTGTGGATTGTTAGTGAATTCATCACAGTTTGGTTGAGCCATGGAGGAATAAGAAGGAATTGAGCTGTGCACAGAAGTCTAGCCTGCCTGATTTGGCATGTCAGGCTAACTTTATGACATGAACAGTGTGGATTCTACCACGATTCAGGTAAAGTCCTGCATGTACGCGTACAACTAAACACTCTGAATTTGTGAAATGACATTGCATTTCACTTCAGTGACAAGTGTGGCCTGTGTATACACATGTGTACTTTGTGGAGAGTGTCTAGAGTTTCAGTTCACAGTTAAAACCATTTTATCAACTGTGAAAAACACTTTCTAATTCCTTTGGATTTTATGAGCAGTGAAAATTGTCTCTGTGGTATGGTTGCTGGGTTATTTTGGATTTGGCAGGCTTGAGACTTTAAAAGCATACAGGATCATTTGCATGCATCCCAAAAGTAACCTACCGAATTACTATCAAAAAGCTTTAATACTTGGATTAATTAAGGAAGATCATGCTGCTGTAAACATCCCTTTGAAATGATTCCGTCTGGCTTGCTGTCATTTAGAAGAAAACAAAATGTAGGTTATTTCCAACGACCAGTCAATTGACTGAATGCTGGAAATATAAAGTGCTATTGATGAAATCATGTTTTTGTGATAAAAAGGTGCGTGGTTTTTCTTCTTTTTTTTTTCTTCAAAAAAGTGAGCTGTGAAACTTCAACAGGTTAAGTTTTGAACATTCTTTGGATTTTGAATGTTATTATTATGTTGAAAACGAACAAAATGCATGAAAAGCAAATGATCCAGATGCCTTTTGCAAAGACAATGGCGTTTGCCTCTAGGAAACTGAAGAATTCTTTAGATGTACAAACAATAACTGCATTGACATGATTTAAAAGATCACCTCCTTCCAATTGGTTAGTGTATCGTGGTCCAACAAATGGGTATTTTTACTCTAAACTCAATTGTATTTACTTATTGTTTCTACATAAAAACACAACGTTCTCATATCCTTGTTTGTACATGTAGTTACATCATACATTAAGGGGCCTTTGCGTCATCAGGGAGAGTTTGTAAAGGATCATATTTTTTTGAATTCAGGATTTTTTATTGAGGCCATTTCCTTGTAAAATGACAACACGTGTCTGAAGGGTATTGAAATCATTCAGAATGACTGCGTCATCCAGTGGGCTTTTTGAAATTTCTAGAGCATCCATGTATGAAGATTCAGTATCGTTCCTCAGCCTGCAAACAATAAAGAATTTTTAGGTGTTTTTTGTTCAAAATATATGTTTACGTGGGTTGCAACAACTCAAGGAACTTTTCCAGTTTGTCTTTATGATCGTGTAGTGTGTTCTCTCCCCCTCCCCCCCACTTCCAGAAACAAGGGAGAGTTGCTCAATACTTTGTTTACAAAGAAACAAATGTAATGCATGTTATTTTTCAAAATATATTGCACATTTTGCGACTTCAAGACATTTGCAGAGAATGTATTCACAGAAAGACAGGCAAAAAGTTGGGGTACTTTTTGACCCCCCCCCCCCCCAGCCCACAATTGAAATGCTGGACATTTCAAGGAAAATGTTCTCGAGCAGTGTCATTAAATTGTTGCTTTTCTGCATCATACAACCACATGTACATCTGTAGCTTGCTTCAGAAATCACCTATTAAAAAAAAAGTTCCCCTAACATGCCCCATAATTGGTGTTCAAATGGCATGACTTTTTTTTTCGCAGCTGAAAAAAATCCCTTTTTGAAAATTAAGCTGTGAACCAGGAAATAGCATTCTTGACACAGTCTTCAATAGATTTAGTATGCCAGTGTAAACAGAACTGTACTATTACATTTAGGTCTCACCCGGATATACATTGTACATGCATATTTCGAATGCCCACTTTTATAAAATCTGTAGGGACCGTCTACTGCAAGCACAGAACAGGTAAGCGTGTCGTTTTCAGAGGCCAAATTCTAAAGGTTAACCCTAACCTTTCCAACTCCATCAAAATCCATCTCTCCCATTTTGGGGATTTGGTAGATATTAGCCATGTGTACTTAAAGTCCAACAACATCCACCAGCACCAGTGGTGAATTTCAATGGATTTGGTCCTGAAGCATTACATGTACATCTAGCAGAGTGAGTGTTGGATTTTGACAGATTGGGAGTTAGGTTCCTTCCTCAGTCCTGTAACATCTTTCCTTTTGAAGGATTTTAAAGGATTTTGAAGGGTTAGGGATGTACATGTATTACATTGTGTACATCATGTTAATAGTTGTGACTGGCTCCTATCCTACTGATACATGTACATGAACCATCAAGCTTGTTGACACGTTAAGAAAAATGTACTGTACTGTACTTTTATGTTTATTGAATGACTTGCACATTAAGTGTCATGTCTAGTAAGGAAATGAAGTACGGTACATGTACATACTGGTTCTGCTACGTGTACCGATACCTTCATTTACGTGTACATGTATTGGTATGTGTGCAGTTTGAGAATTGACCTTTTGCTCTTCATATTCGTTGCCAGAGTAAGAGTTTCTGAGTAATTAAAAAAAAAATTAAATGAATAAAAAAAAAAAAAACTGAAACCAAAACAAAATTTTTATGAAATATACCATGTACAAAAAAGGTGACCTCTGTCATAAAACATACCTCTGTCATTCTTTCATTTAAAAAAAATCTGAAGTGAAGCCCATCGCTGAATGACCTGAGCAGAGTTTTCATACAAGCATGTGTTCGAAGACTAAAAAGTTTTATGTATTACAAACTTTCCTAACTTTGCAGCTTTTTTTATGTGCATGACAGAAGGTTTCTGAGAGAAGTTTTAGAAAAAAAAAATTATATGTTAATATAAATCTGGTACCTTGTACAATAAATGATGATAAACAAATATATTTTCAATATATCCCTGGAAACCCACTCAATCTTGATTTCCTTGACCTGAACTCTTCACCCTCTGTATTTCTCTTTGTCCTTCATGAAAAATATGCACGTTTTTTGTATAATGAAGGACAATTGTCATCAACGGACCTCCGAGATTATTTGATATCATTTGTTCCATTATGAAATGCCTGGCAATTCTGCGACAGCATATTTTGTGCATGCTGTGAGTGTGACCATCAAAAGATTGCCTTGCGCAAAGTATATAACCAACATACTGTTAGCCCACTCAGCATGTACTGGTATTTGCATGTGCAAAACTTAATGAAAACATATTTAATTAAAACAATGTGCACATTTAAAGGGAATACACATTTGCTTTTGCTGTAATTTTCAGAAATGGATGGATTTGGGGGTTAGTATTTTATAGCAAATACTGTCACACCAAGCTGTTTAAAGTTTTGTGTGCAACACTGGAGAAACAAAACGAGAAAACAAATCGTGTTTTTGTAGTCTGGTTCCCTGACCCCACTTCAGAAGAAACGAACAATTTACAGATGTTGGGAAGTGTAAGGGCAGGGAACCAGTCTTAGCTGGCTTGTACCCATTCACAGATGTGTAACTGATTTCAAACAAAATGTGGACTAACTACATTTGGGGCAGTATTTGGAGAAAAAATAGTTGTTTTTCAAACTTTGGAATTGATACAAAACTTGTACTTTTCTTGAAAATGACAGTACACCGGATGCCAGGATTTCACAGGATGCTTGAGACTATTATTCCCTAACAGTCCAGCAAATGTTGTTTATATTGCCTTTAACAGTAGGTCAAAATCAAAAATTAAAATGCTCAAATTCATTTTACAAAAATATATGCCTTTGGTCATGGACCTCGCAGTTTGATGTTGATACCACAATCACAGTGCAGGGTTGGAATGACGTGGAAGAAAACCTGAATCAAAATAAAATAATTGTAATCACTTTTAATCCAATCAGATTCGACAATCTATTGTGCAGAACAATTTACATTTATGTTAGTGTATAAACTAAAGCCAGAAAAAAAATGAACATGACATTAAAATTGTTGACATTTGATTTCTCAAAATACTAAAATCGCTATTTAAAATGCCAAAGGATCCCGACCATAAAATTCCGTATCTAATTGTATCTGTTGACCTGCAAACAATTTTAATTGGACTTGTATTGTTTTGTGTATTATTGTTTGTATATGAACACTTCAATTACGCTCATTAACTCTAACCTTTTGTGTGTTCTTTGTTTTTGTTTTTGCAGGCGGACACGGTCTATCAATGCACCGTCACCGTCGCCATCGTTTGGGCCTAAGGCACATCTGAAAAAGGTTCCACCTTCTCAGATCATGTGAGTATTAAACTTCTTCCAAATATTCCTGTGAGAAGAATGGATTCTTTGTCAGTGCAGTTATGTACGGTCTGAATTTTCCATACCTTGGAAATATTCAGTGAATTTCTGGAGTAACTTTTATATTTGTTTCCCCATCTCTTCAAACTCTTTTGAAAAGAATTGATCGTTTTGGAAAAAGAGATGTGTAACATATTACATTGGGGATTGTGGCCTAGTGGTTAGGGTTTGTGACTCATGATTAGAGGGTCAGGGGTTCGAATCCAGCCGCTGGCCATATGTTGTGTCCTTGGGCAAGCCACTTCACCCCCACTTGCCTCTCTCCACCCAGGAGTACAAATGGGTACCAGCATTAGCTGGGGAGTAACCGGTGACGGACAAGCATTCCATCCAGGGGATTTATACAATGTATGTAAATTTATGTTAATTACTTCTGTAACTAACTTTGGATTGGCTGTTCGCAGGCATGTGACCGACCCGTCTGGCCAACGATTGGTGTGGAAAGGAACCCCCCTCTCTGTCCTCATCATCAAGAAGATCATGGACGACTCTGTCTTGGGTCCCTTCAAGGAGCTCTCAAGATGGCTGTCTGAGGTGAGTAACATTGTGATCTTGGTTTTCAGGGTTGCTGGATTCCCAATCAGTTGGTCCTTGGTTAGAATCCTGGCTGGTAAGTGTTGTAGAAAATGGGTGACTCTGTCTTTGGGCCCTTCATTGTTCTTCTTGTTTGATTGAAGTCAAGAAGCTGACAAAACTGTTCACTCAGATGTACCCAAATCCACTTCGTTCTCATGGTTTGGCCACTTTGCCTTAAATCAGTTGGTTTGGGGTTTGAATCCCATCTGTTAGTAATCCAATATAACTAACTTATGTAAGGTGTCATTCAGTGGTGCATGAACAGTGGACACAGGAAGTACTGAAATCCACCCAATTCTTATGGTTTGGGCACTCGACCTGAAATCAGTTGGTTTGGGGGTTCGAACCCCGTCAGTGTCATTCTTTCATATATGGCTAATTGTTCTACATTACAGGAGAAGAACCTCTTAATCTACATTGAGTCCAAGGTATTTGATGACGAGGATTTGCTCAACGATAAAGACTTTGCTCCTGTCCGAGCCAAAATGAAGAGCTTTAAGGAAGGTGAGACAAGAAAGTGATCCGTCTTTTCTTGTAGGCATGTTTATTAAATCTCCTTAAAGAGTTTTCTTTGACAACCTGCCGAATGCAACAGAATTAAAGAGCTACATGTAGAATGAAAAGGGCTTGTGTATTTTGCTCTGATTGACCAATTAACTCTAACTCCCGAGGCATTTTTGCTAGGATGCAACCTCAATCCTGCAAAGTCCTCCAACTGCCTCCATGTCAAAATAGCCTCAACCCTCCCAAATCATCCATTATGTCTTGAATGTGGTGCTTGGAGGGGTGACCACTGCCTCAATCCTGCAAAATCCTCCGGCAATCACTGTCAATATGTTGAGGCAGAGCCAGTGACATCCTGGAGCAGGGCGGACAATTTCAAGCATAATCTACATGTAGGTCTAAATTTATGTACAGCTGAGCATAAACAACACAAGGTCCAGCCCAAGACACAGTGCATCCTCCAAAATCAGTCACACATTTTTGCCATATATAGCCTCAATCCTGCAAAATCCTCCATTTTGCAAACAGGACTTTGGAGGATCTGGGAAGGTAGATGTAAAGAAAAATCAAATTTGCTGTCAACAGACACTACTCACACAGTCCATAGCAGGAACACAACATCAAAGTGTTTTTTACTTGATACCATGCCCTGTGTTTAAAAATGTGTTTATTCATGTGTTGTTTTTTTCTTCAGGTGTTGATTTGAGCAACAAGGTGGATTTTATTCTTTGCCTAGGTGGAGACGGCACACTACTCTATGCTTCGTCTCTTTTCCAAGAGGTTAGTTAGGCCATGCAATAAAAAAATAGTTTCTGGTCTTACATGAAGGTCAGCTTTTACAAAAAGTATCAGTTGTTTGGGTTTTTGTATCTAAGGTCTGATTATCCAATTCGTACATTCTTCCCAAGTTACATTTTTTCCATTTAATTTGTTGCTTTTGCAGGCCAGCGTTCCTCCCGTCATGGCATTCCATCTTGGCTCCCTGGGTTTCCTGACGCCGTTTGAGTTTGAAGATTTCAAGGAATCTGTAAATATGCTTTTAAAAGGTAATTCAAGAGAAGAATGTGGAAATTGACCCTGGCCAAGTTATGAACATAAAGTTTATCGCATCTCTAAAACCTGGTGTTGAAAAGAGATTTAGAATAAATTTATTTTGACTGAAAGAAACAACGTATACATTCTTTGGCGTATTCTGTTCTTCAAATGTAGTAGATTTATTTTGCCACGGTAACATGCTGGAGACAGATTTTTTATATTGTCTGACTAAATTTTTTTAGGTGACAATGGTAAATCAATATTTTGATGTTTAAGTAGCAGCAAGTTTGATAAAATTCCACAATATTTCATAACTTAAGACAGTGTTTATGATATCTTGTTTGCCTCACCTGAATGACTTATGATTGACTTGTGAATGACTTATGAGTTGTGGTTGCCTTGTGATTGGCTTGTGATTGGCTTGTGATTGGCTTGTGATTGACTTGCGATGACCTTATAACAATTCTGCTCTTTTGCTTCTCCATTAGGTGACGCCGCAGTTACGTTACGTAGTCGACTAAAATGCTTGATCTTCGACAGCAGTGACATTCCCAACGGTTTTGACAACGACCGTAACGACGATCCCAACCAGATCATACCCCCTACCCCCAAGAAGGTGGACCCACCCAGCCTCAAGTTCAAATTCCAGGTCAGTACCGAGAGGTTATGAGGTCAAGAGGTCATGACCCTGGATTGCCATAATTGGATGATTGATTAATGCATTTACTTAGAATGGGACTCATGATTAACATTTTTACCAATTTCGACTGTGATTAACCCTAACCCCTTGGGTATTTTTACTAGAAAGTGTCCTGAATCCACCAAAATCCATCAATTTTGTTATGCAAAAACTGTTTGGTGTTTTGAGTCCATCAGAATCCACCAGTGAGTCCATCAGAATCCACCAGTGTAGTACATATACCTCGTACACACCAAACATATAGCCAAGGAGTTAAACTGTTGAGATCCCGGATCCATCAATGTCCCCCAACTTCTCAATATGGAGGTATCCTGAATCCATCAAAATCTTGCAGTACCGCTAGGCTTACTGTCCTGAATCCATCAAAATTCCCCAACTTTTTGCAATATGGAGGTATCCTGAATCCGCTGAAATCCTCCAAAACAGGGGTGTGGTTTTTGAATGATTCAGGTACGTTAGGGTTATTTTTATCCTGCAGTGTGGCATTGGCAGAATGCGCGTGTTGTATAATAGCCTGGTCTGATGCTGATGGCTAAAACTATAAAAGTGAATACATTTCAACTTTTGTTTTTTTGTTCCGTAGGTGCTTAACGACGTCGTCATTGACAGAGGTCCCTCACCGTACCTCTCCAACATCGACCTCTACTTAGACCGCCGGAAAGTCACAACGGTCCAAGGTGACGGTTTGATCATCTCCACACCGACGGGAAGCACGGCGTACGCCGCGGCGGCTGGTGCGGCTATGATGCATCCTAACGTGCCCGCCATACTTATCACTCCGATCTGTCCTCATACGTTGTCTTTCAGGCCCATTGTTGTTCCTGCTGGTGTCGAACTCATGGTAAGAGAATCTTTTAAGACCGAATCACGACAGGTTGCTTTTTCTTCACTTTTAACTTCAAGCTCAGTGCGAGACTGCTGTGCGAGTTACAATTGAGGGTAATTACAGTACCGATTGGGTGGAGAATCTGATTTTGTGGGTTGGCCTAGTGGTTAGGGTTTTGACTCATGATCAGAGATCAAGGGTTCAAATCCAGCTGCTGGTCATATGTTGTGTCCTTGGGCAAGCCACTTCACCCCAACTTGCCTCTCGTCAACAAGGAGTTGATGGGTACCGGCATAAGCGGGGAAGTAACCTGCGATGGACTGGCATCCCATCCGGGGGGGAATAGATATATTCTAAGATATTTCATGCCACAAAAAGCCGTTGATAAACACTAGACAGACAGACAACTTGTCTTCTTTCTGTGTCAGATTAGTCTGAAACTTTGCAGATGTGCTTAGCATAGATGTCCTTTCATGTTTTAGAAATTTCAGCCAAGTCTTTCGTTAGTCAGCTACATGTGTAAATTTCTACTTAATCGTTGATGTATTTGGTTCTTTCAGATAATGGTTTCTCCTGATGCTCGCCACACAGCTTGGGTGTCGCTGGATGGCAGAAACCGGCAAGAAATCCACAAAGGATGGTGGTAAGTCATAAATTTCGGTAACTTATTAAATTGGATAATCTACCCAATTGACGCTGCATCCCAGTTGCAGTAACACATTGCCCAACCTTGTTTCCGTGGATACGATCTCGCCGCGCCATGTTGTTTCCCATCATGCCTTGCGTGATCTTAAATTGTGAAATATAAATGTCCCAATATTTGGGACCAATATTTGGGACATTTAAATTAGGACTGCAGTCGATGTATGTAACGCGCGACGCAGTGCTTAAAATTTTGAAAGTTTTTTTTGTAATCAATCCTTTCAAAAATGAGATTTCGACGTCTCGTTATTTAGCAAGAATTTATATTATGTTCCTCTGTCGTCCCTTTACACCACAAGATATAGTTTTTTTGGCGAAAAAAATGTTTGTACCTGACGTGAAGTGCAGGAGATGCAGGCGTGCTGTCTTCGAAATATGCGCGCAGTATGCTCTGAATAGCCGGTCAGCATTGTTTACATATTCCTCACGGCCAGGGGGTTAGTGAAGGAACGCGCACGTGCCCATGGAGTCGAGGCTGCACATTGCCAGTCGTAGCTAAATAATTTACATGTATACACAGCCAAAGTTTAGAAGTAAAGATTATTCAAGTCAAAAGCCTTCTGTGTAGTTTTCTTATATCCGTTTTGTTATGCAGTATATTAATGTTATGTGAGATTATTAGCCAAGTGAAACTGATGTTTTGTCCTTTTTTTCCTTTTCTGGTTTTAGTCTTCGGATCACCACTTCCGTCTTCCCGGTCGCTTCCATCTGTAGCGCTGATCAGATCAGCGATTGGTTCGACGGCCTCGTCGAGTGCCTACACTGGAACACGCGCCACCAGCAGAAAGCCCTGAACACCCCCAAGAGGGGGGATAAAAACCGCAACCAGGTCAATAGTTGAATATTGCCCAGTCACTAGTTCAATATGTAAATTATGGACAAGTTACTTAGTCAATTTTTGAACATTTACCAGTCACTAGGCCAATATTTCAATGTTGACCAGCCACTTGGTCAATATTTGAATATTGCCCAGTCACTAGTTCAATATTTGAATATTGACAAGTTTTTGGGTCATAGTTTTGAACAGTTACCAGTCACTAAGCCCATAGTTCAATATCGACCTGCCACTTGGTCAATATTTGAATATTGATCAGTCACTAAATCAATATTCCATTTGAATTTGAATATTTATGAGCTATGCAAATCCATGTAAATATGTATAGTCTGAAATTCCCAATGAGCATTCAGAGCACGATATGAACAATCACACCGTGCATCAAAATGTTTATTTGGAAAAATAACAGGGGCAAGTTACTTCAAACATTCACAATTTCATTGCCACTTTGAACAATACTATTAAAGAACAGAGAATTGGTTGTTAAAATTGGTTGGTTTTTAAAACTTTTGTAGTCAAGAGTATTAATTTTTACTTACAAAATTCGAATTTTTTTTGCACAATTCTTGCACTGTGTGTATATCTGTTATATTTGTAAATTTGTTTTAAAAGTACATTTCAAATCTTGATGTATATTTCTTCACAATGGCATCTGATGGAGCTGTGATATCTAAACTTACTTTTCTCAAATCTGACCAAAAATCAAACGCCAGATTTTTGCTGGATTATTTTCTTTCAATGGATAATTGTGCCCAGGCACTGTTGTTTTTCACTGTCCTGATGTCTCAACTTTGTGTCAAGCACAATGTATGTACCCTTACATGCAGTGGTCTCAACAGGATTTTAATTAAAGGTGGAGACAGATTTTTGAACACCGTAGCTTTAAACAAATTTAAGGGTAGGGGAACATGTCTGTTAAGCCTGTTCCTACTTCATGCGAATGCGATGCGAATTTCATGTCACGAAGCATTCGCTGCAAAATTCACCGGAGTTGGAGTGTGATCAACGTTTGGGTTTGCAGCTAGAAAACTTGCCCTGACGTCACAAATTCGCATTCATAGATCACGTTCACTTTCGCTCTGAGTATGAACACGCCTCTAGGGTGGGAAAAGTTTAAAGGGACCATTTTTTATTTGTGATTTTTTTTTTTTGAAGTAATAAAAGTGCTCAAAATCTAAAGACGGGGATTTAACAACTAAGCTGATGAAGTTTTAGCTCTGTGAATGCTGTATATTTTGAGAAAATACAATATTCTGGATCTCAATTTCAGTTCAAAAGTTGCCATATTTTGAATTGCGCCCTCAATTCACTTCACAAGTCAATTCACAAGTCTGGTCGTTAGTAAATCACAAGTCCATTCATACGTCCAATCACAAGTCCAGTCACAAGTCCAATCGGTGGTAAATCACAAGTCCATTCATACATCCCGTCACAAGTCCAGTCACAAGTACATGTAAATCACAAGTCCAGTCACAAGTAAATTGCAAGGCCAATCACAAGTCCAGTCACAAGTCCACTTGGTAGTAAATCACAAGTCCATTCATACATCCCTTCACAAGTCCAGTCACAAGTAAATCACAAGGCCAGTCACAAGTACATCACAAGGCCAGTCACAAGTCCAGTCACAAGTAAATCACAAGGCCATTCACAAGTCCAGTCACAAGTACATCACAAGGCCAGTCACAAGTCCAGTCACAAGTCCAGTCACAAATAAATCACAAGGCCATTCACAAGTCCAGTCACAAGTACATCACAAGGCCAGTCACAAGTCCAGTCACAAGTAAATCACAAGGCCATTCACAAGTCCAGTCACAAGTACATCACAAGGCCAGTCACAAGTCCAGTCACAAATAAATCACAAGGCCATTCACAAGTCCAGTCACAAGTACATCACAAGGCCAGTCACAAGTCCAGTCACAAGTAAATCACAAGGCCATTCACAAGTCCAGTCACAAGTACATCACAAATCCAGTCACAAATAAATCACAAGGCCATTCACAAGTCCAGTCACAAATAAATCACAAGGCCATTCACAAGTCCAGTCACAAGTACATCACAAGGCCAGTCACAAGTCCAGTCACAAGTCCAGTCACAAGTCCAGTCACAAGTAAATCACAAGGCCAATCACAAGTAAATCACAAGGCCAGTCGCAAGTAACAGGGGATGAACACTTACAAAGGAATTCCTTTGTCACAGTTTATTTGTGACGGGACTTGTAATTGGACGGCTTGTGACACCTGTGAACACTTGTGATTGACTCCACTACAACACTAGGACTGATGCTTACATCATATTGTAATAAATAATAAATTGGTACTTGCATGTTAATATTTCTGTCATTTCTAGACCAAAGCACAAATTATTGTACATCCGCTGTGAATAGAATTATTGTTAATTTTCTATTTCTTGCTAAAAAAAATATTTTCTTGATGAAATTAGCATGATTTTATTTATTAATGAACCGCACCAATTTTAGTAGTAACTATTTGCAGGAAATTGTTTATTCGCCAGAAAAGTGCATTTCATCTTGTCACACAATGCCAGCTTGGGTAGTGTAGGATAGTCATGACTAAAAATGTTAGAATTGGAATTTAAGTTCGGGGAATGTGATTAGGTATTAAAGGCAGAAAGTTAATGTTTTCTTCAATTTTTTTTCAAGATTTCATTTTTTTTTTTGGGGGGGGGAGGGGAAATGCCCTACAAGCGTTGGGAGTACATGTTTTTTTAGGAGGGACCTAAGAGCATATTATTTTACAGGACGGTGCCTTAATTTTGCTCTAATTTTACATGCGACCTGAAAAACAAAACTCAGAAAGATGGTGTTTGAATTATGACACAGCTCCTAATAAAACAAGAAACATACACCAACTTTACAGAGGGACACAAAAAGTTCATTATATGGAGTTGCAAAGTCAATACTGAAGTATTTGCAATATGGTGCCATTTTGCATTCAGGAAACAGTACTATTTAATACATGTGAGCTTTGTATTTATTTGAGGGAAACTGATATTTGTATGAAACATTTGTAAGAAACATTTGTAAGAAACATTTGCGACTTTTGATAAAATGTGTGTTAACGTTCAAGGACCAGCTGTGGAGGCCTCTGAGGCCATGGCCAAAATAAAAATCCTATTTTAAAGGAATGCTCAATTGTATCAGTTTTTGTCATGTATACTTGACAAAAAAAGTTGTTTTTAAATTTGTGTAAAAACAATTTTTCCGAGACGTAATCACAGTTTTGAAGTTGTAAAATCCCCACTTTAAAATCCATAATTTTCCCTACCGAGCTTCCAAATGTAAATCATTAAATTTAGAACATTAATTTTTAGATTAGTTTTAAATTAAACTGTGAAAAAAACACTAAGTAAGCGTAAAGACTGTACTGTTTTTCTTCGGTGATGTCAACAAAAAGTGTTTTTTTTTTTTTTTAGCTCAGGGCATCAGAAAAAAAGTCGAGTATGTGTGTGTTTGAAAAGTTGCAATTTAAAATTGGAAACCAACTTGATATCATTTCAAACGCAGTGAGATTAGCTGATTTATTTGCAATAATTTTGTTGTCATGAAGTAATATACAGTCGACTCTCGTTAGTACAAACTCTGTTAATACAAAATTCTGGTTATAACAAACATAAAGCCTTGGTCCCGACTGTTCATTTATGTGCACAATGAATGGGACTGATGTTCCTCTTAATACAAAATTCTGATATAACAAACAATTTGGCTAGGTCCGAACGAGTTTGTTATAACGAGACTCGACTGTACTAATTTGTACTCGGATTTGATTTTAAGGTCATGGGGTTTTTATACAGTAAATTGTAAATATTGCTATTTTTGTATCAAGTAGAATTTCGTTACCAGTTGTTAAATAAAAATGAAGGTAAGATGTCTAAATGTTTTTAGTTTCAGTGATTTCTTGTTTTGATCCTATTGTCCAACATAACAAAATCCTCTGCATTTTGAAGTCTGCCAGTGAACACTACAATTTGTAAGATTTATGTGCTGCGCCGGGACACACAGTTGTTGGGAATATAAGGTATTGGACTTTTGGACACCATTTGCTAACATTCAAAGATGAAACTGTCAAAATATGAAACATCGTACTTGATTGCAAGTAAATAATAATAAATTGCACCTTTTATGTCGTCATTTTTCAAGAAAAGAGGCATTACCATAATTTCCTCTCGACGGTTACGTCCAAACCATCGCGCCTTCAACAGAAACCCACGCTTTGCGTCACAAAAAATTAAGATGCATTGTCAGCTCTTCTCAAAAAATATTTCCACTGAGCTGAAAGTTAGACAGCTTAGTTTTTTTCAATAACTGCTTCAAATTTATTGTATTGTTCCTTGAATCAGCAAAAAAACTTTTCTTTTGCAAATAGTGTCTATCACCTTTAAGTACAAGTGACTTTTTATTGTCAAGCAATCTATTTTTCAACATCAGCTGTTTATTCCATTGTAATATCTCAATCTAAATGTGCGCACACGCACACAAGTATTACAAATAACTAGAAAATATCGATATCCATATTTCGTCTCGTCACATAAAAAAAACTATTTTCTTTTAATTATGTTACTGCCTTGTAAACAAGTTAACAAATGGACATTATATAAAGAAAAGGAAAGAATTTACATTGGACACAAAATCATCATGAAGGGGCCATTTTTTTCATTTTATGGAAATACTGTTTTCCCCTTCTTTTAAACAAACAGATAATCTGCATAGCATATTGTTTATTGTCAAGCATAGTTTATCATCAAGTTGGCGGTAAATAATCTTTTAGAGAGTTACTCCATTACTTTCCAAAGACAAAATTTTTTCAGTCTGTACACCTACCAAAATATTTAAGGCCAACTTAATCGGCCCAATTTTCAAAAATAAAAGTCTGAGTAATTGAAGTTTTTGAACACACCCCAATTGCCTTTTTATATTGTAATGACCAGTTTGTGCTTTTTTGTAAGTAAAAGTACATGTATTGGCCACGTAAATATGACTTTTACATCTTGAAATTCAAAATGTCATTTGCATTCACCCAGGAATAAAAACAGCCTTAAAATCTTTCCATTCTAGACATCTGTATATTCCGACACAGGCAACTTCATGCAACTCGTTTGTACCTCACTAAATTTACAAGACAACTGAACATTTCTGCACAAAACACACCTTACAGAAAACATCCCACCACTTGACAAATTCAGACTTGGACCTTCCAGAACAGCTTGATTGCAATCAACAGCCATCACTGAGGTGTGTTTTTGGAAAGAATGTATCCAGACGCCACTTCAGCGGTTGTGTACAAAGTCTACGGAGAGTCAAGAAATTTGCTATTTTCTAACAAAATTGAAAGTGTTTCTCAGTCCCAGATTCATGTCTTTCAACATTTTTGCAAATGACTGACCTTTATTGAGATGATATATGAAGAAAAAAGTGGCATCAGGTTGCAACATTCTTTCGGTGTTTTTTGTTAATTCGTTAATAATGACTGCACAAGGGTCCACTCATGCGTTACCCTGTTGAACAAAAGCACACACCTCTAAGATGGCTGCAGTGCAAATGGTCTATACTACTCTGTGCACTTCCAACTAAAGCCACTTATAATAACTTTCTTGACAATTATTTGTCAATGTGTGAGTGGGTAGAACACTGGAGTGGTCATCCGACAAAAAACTGATTAAATACGAAACCTAGTTATAAAACTGATAATTAAGTTGAACAGAGAAATTGACTGCAGCGGGGTTTGAACCTGCGACCTCCGGATTGCCGTTCCGTGCTCCACCAACTGAGCTATCCAGCCCTACGTTCGCAGTTCCCCATTTTGTCAATGTCTTTGTTCAATGGGCGCTAGTCAGAAGCCATAAACCGATATATGCCATGTAGCCAGGGATCACACCCAAAGTCACGATGCTAGCAACATTAGCAATGCTGCAAACCTGGGAAATAGCAAACGGGGATCACTCAGAGAGGATGCGGCTTTTTATTACAAACTGTAATTATAATTGCACCAATTTGTGGTTTATTTGATGAAAAAAAAGTTTCTGTTGATCTGAAGGCAACACATTTTTATCATGTTAACTAATCCCGTGTATTTTATATATCCTAACAAAAAAAATGTTTCTTATCACCAAAGTTTAACGTTTCGTGATTGCGTCTTGCGTTCGCGCGGCGTTCGCAGCGTCATGCTGTGAGGGGCGATGCGCACCACTCTCTTTGACCGCGTCTGGCTGGTTGTTTGTGTTGTGTCCATTCCTTCCTCCAGTGGGGAGAGGAGGGCCACAGGGCTGTCTGTTGGTGACTGGCGGGGTGTTACTTGGGATCTTCTCGACCTACAGGAATATAAGGAAGAGAAACTTAAAATAATGATTGATTTTTTTTGACTGCATGCTGTTTGGAACATTCATGTTTTTGTTTACCGATTTTGAGTCTACATGTACATGTATATCAAAAGCTAGTTGTGTTCTTCTGTGAAATCCTGATGCCACTCATCGTAGAGGTCGTCCCAACATGACCCTGAAAACATCCGTCGAGTTGGAAACTGGTCTGAGCGGTCTATCTCTTTCCAACACTATGCTCGACAGGGACAGATGGGCCTAACTCATCAAGTCATCATGAAAGTGAATGAACAAATGAATGAATGAATGAAATTGAGGTATCGCTCCCTGAAGTGAGGTGGGTCACCTTACTTAAACTCTTTGGGTGCTGAATTGATTGCCTTACTTAAGATGGAATTAAAACAATCCGCTAATATTTTCAGGCCTATAAACATCCACTCTCTCTCTCCAGATTTTGAGCAGAGTTAATGTTTGGATAAACATGACGTAGATGGCACACGCACTTTGGCGTCTGCTTTTCCAGTCCCACAATTTTTTCTGCGGACTCAAGACTTTGATTTGGCTTAAGACTGAATTTCAAGTAATAAATTCAACTATAAAGGCAAAAAGACATGAGACATACCAAATCGCAAATTTGGCAAATCGCTGTCACATCTTTTAAATTATATTCTTCCAATTTGAATAACTGACCCACCTTGTGACTGGTCCATGCAGATCTGAATTCTGTTCAGACTTAACCACAGGGGTGACACTCCTGCGTTTACCGCGGGTGCTCCCCGCAGCTTCCTGGATGTCCACCTTTGGTGTGTGGCTCCTCCTTCCCCTCCTTGCGGTACCCGTGACCGAGCTAGGAGTGGCACCCATGCTCTGCGTGCCGCCACCGATGCTGGCAGGAATCAGATCTAAGCTAGGGGTTGGTCCCACCGAGGGCATGAGCGCGGTGTGGGTCGTGGGGCGAGCCAGTGGGGTCGTGACCTCGTCTATGACCTTTCGGGCGTGGCGTCGGGTGCCGGTCCGGGAACGGGTGTGGGGCGGGGAAAAGATAAAGGAAAGGGCAGGGGTGGACTGAGTGCTCTTTCGTCCTGGAAAATCAAAACAAACAATTCATAAGATGGAATTTGCGTCGGGGTGATGTAAATTCAATATAGAGTTTTGCCCTTTACCGACCTATAAACACTGTTCAGTCTATTCAGAATTGTCCCAAGTGATTGTGAGACAAAAAAGACCCCCTGCTTACTAGTGTAGATGCAAACAACTAAAATAACAGTCTGGAATGTCTGATTTCAAGAAAGCAGTGTCAACTTAAAATCAGGCTGTACTTTTTGATTAAAGATATAAGTAACTTTGGACTATGAGTAACTTTTTAACACTATCATGGGTGGAGAGCCATTTCCTTCATTTTAGCTACCGGTATTTATCAGAGCTTTAAGATTTTAACAAAAAAAACCATCAAATTGAAGTCTATAGCACTACTGTATCAAAAGGGATTTTTCTTAATTCATAAGCGTTGCTCACCTTGTTTCTGTTTGACTTGCTCTTCCTTCACTTGAGCCTCCTCCATCTCGGAGGTTTCCATGGCAACGTCAGTGTCCTCAGAAGGCTGAGTATCTACAAAAAAATATAGTGAATGATGCATAGTTAGCCAATCACATCCCAATGCCCACCGATTGTGAAGTTACCACTTCCATGAAAGAGAGTTGAAGTCAAGCCATCACAACTCACAAGTGATCATAAGTCATCACAAGTATAAATCATAAATGATCATAAGTCATCAAAAGTCATCATAAGTCATCATAAGTTATCATAAGTACCATACGTCATCATAAGTATCATAAGTCATCATAAGTCATCTTAAGTACCATAAGTCATCTTAAGTACCATAAGTCATCTTAAGTACCATAAGTCATCTTAAGTACCATAAGTCATCAGAAGTATCATAAGTCATCATAAGTTATCACAAGTTGTCATAGGTTATCATAAATCATCATAAGTTATCATAAGTCGTCACTAGTCATCAAATATCAACCACAAGTCAACTGCGAGTCATAAAGTCAAGTGATACTCTATTCAAATAAACTGTCATCGTTACTTGTGACCTTACTAGTGATTGACAATTGTTTTGCCACCAACCCTTTATCTGAATGAAATTACTTGAATAAACAGAAGATTCGCCGATGGCAAACAAAAACTGGCTGTCAACCTACCAGCATCTGTTTGTCCCTCATCCTGACTGGCGACTTGCTCCGAGGACGACTCGCCACCCATCTCCTCCCCACTAGTGGGCGGAGTCATGGGCTCCTGTTGGAGGAGGGAAGACACCAGGGACGCTTCGAAGGGCACCCTGGCCGGCCTGGCCCCGCCCTGTCGGAGGGCCAAACCGGGCGTGGTCTGAACAGACATCTCCTGGTGATCCGTCGAGGGGAGTAGGTCCATCGGGGAGGTCTGAATCTCAACTGATTCTGCCCCAAGTTTCTCCTCGAAATCTTCCACCGCCTCTTCAGATCTCTTGGAGGGTGAGTCCGTGGCATCTTCGACAGCAGAAGGCGGCGTCGCAGAGGGGAACTCCATCTCTGTCTCAGGTTTCTCCGGAGTTTGCTGCGGAGTGACAAAATCTTCCTCCTCCTGTGCTGGAGGGGGAGACGGGCTGGGTTGTCTCAGGAGCAGCTGCGAGGGAGTGATGCGGGAGGTCGTAGGAGTCCCTTTGAGGATGCTGGAGCGAGGTGTGGCTGTATCGGGAGCCATGCGTCTGAGTGGAGGACGCGGTGAGGGGATCAGATCACTTTCTGATAACGGTCTAAGTTCCTCTTCTTCTTCTTCTACTTCATCCAATTCCTCCTGCTCGACAGGTGGCTCATCTTTCTCGGAGTCTTCATCAACCACCTCAGCATCCCATGGCATCTGATACTGCAACTTCTCTGGAGATTCTGATAAAAAATGGGGAACAAATCTGATCAGACATCTCAAACCAGCCTGGCCAGTGAATTTTCATCAAGGGTGCCTTGTGATTTTTGCCTTGTGATTCCATACAAGTAATTTGCCTTGTGATTTTGCCTTGTGATTTTGCGTTGTGATTTTGCCTTGTGATTTTGCCTTGTGATTTGACTTGTGATTTGACTTGTGAATGACTTGTGATTGACTTGTGATTGACTTGTGATTGACTGACTTACAACCAGGCTTCTCGCCTTTTTAGGGGTGTGACATTTGTTTTACCTTCATCAGTTGTTGCCAAAGCTTCCATATCTGTTTCTCCCCCGATATTTTGGTGCGGTCCGAAATTGAACGTGATCTCATCGTCCACTAGCATCCCCATTCCTGATGTGATTTCAAACTTCTCGGTGGGGGGACTGGTTCGCACGCTGGGTGACGCATCTAGTGATACATCAAATCCCCCTGGGGTGGTGGCTTGCTCTGGAGTTTCCTGGGTGAGAGGTCGTGGAAGTACAGGGGGGGTGGACTGGTCTGAGGAGGCGTTTGACTCAGTCCCGTAGGGGCTCTGCTCATGGGGTGGGGATGGTTCCCCAAGGGGTGGGGAGGCTTGCCCCATGGGTGGGGAAGCCTCCCCCAGGGGTGGGGAAGCCTGTCCCAGAAATGGGGAGAGTTCAACCTCAAGATCTGGGTAGATGGAGGGGGATTCCAAAGGTGGCGTTGTATCAAACATAGCTTCTTCTTCCTCGGGACTTGGTTTACTGAGGACAAATATTTAAAGTTTTGTTAAAACTTATGAGTTTATAATAATAAACAGTCATCGATACGTCAACAAAATGAAGACTTGCCAAGTTAAGCGAACATTTCCATGACAGGAAAATGGCTCCAAAGGCAAGAACTGTAATAAACATGTTATTTTTTTGAATAATTGTGCAGTATTTTCCAAGATTGTTCATACTCACAATTTGACCATGACTGGTGACGGTGTTCTGGCTTTTGTATCCTCGGCAAAGCTGATTCGTTTAGGCAAACCCAGCGGCTTCTCTGATTGGTCCCCCAATGGCTTGGCTGTCGTGACAACAAAGAGGACAAAACCCAAAATTAAAAAAAACCCGGATTTAAAAGTATCCTGACATTAAGTTCAAAATAACAGTGATTTCCTAACACTTCTCAAGGACTATTTACATCAATATTGAGCAACTTCGTGATGAACAAACTCTGTACTCACAGAATGAACTCTTTGTCAAAGATGGCGGCGTCGGTAGGGCAACCTCAAATTTGGTTCCTGAAAGTGCAACAAATTCAATTTCCACGATTATGCCATTAAGCAAAACATTGATCATATATCATCCAATACATCAGCTTTACAGTAAGAGTTCGTAAGGTCAGGCCAAGTAAAACAAATGAACCAGTTTCTTGCCTCGGCCCGTTTCCTGTTTTCCGCCTGCCTCCCTTTTTTCCCTCCCTTTTTCCCCTATTTTTTGTTTATATTGTACATTTGCAATAAATACTGTCTGTTTGTTTCCAGCAAAATTGTAGCTTTGTATGTAAGTTCCAAATCTTGTAGAAAGGGTGACGATTCCTTTGGATGCAAATGTATCAGCGAAGAGTCAAGAAAGTGAAAGGATCTAACCGCCATCTTGGAAAATCCGCCATTTGGGGGAAAACAAACAGGCCTCCTTCCTTTTTTTCTAAAAGCTCGGACTACTTTTTTTGTTCTACTTGGCCTTAGATAAAAATTGTTGCATTGCAAAACAAATCGAGCTGAACTTACTGAGGGTTTTTTTCTTGGACTTTTCCTCCCTTGCCTCTGTGGGGATTCGCTGGCTGGTACTCCGCACTTTGAGTATGGATGGTATTGAGCGTGTTGCCGGTGTCCCGTCACTCCTAAGCTTACTGGGGGTTCGCTGCAGAAAATTTTCAATTTTAAAATCGTCAACGTTTTTTAAAAGGTAAAAAAATGTAATCTTTCACTATAACAAACATGTGACTTGACATCTCAAGCAAATGTTAATATATTTTCGTTAGAAACGGAGAAACTACCAAACAGTAAGACAAACAGCCTGATAGACAGACTGACAGACAGACCTACCCTCATGACAGGCGGCGTTTGAAGCAGAGAAAGGGCTGAGGCACTGGTGTAGTCTCTTGGAGCTTTAGAAACACTGTCCGAAAAAAAAAAATCACAAATTAACAAACTGAGAAGGATTTTTTTTATTAATTTCCCATCAATGTCTTGACTACAATCAAAACACATCTTAATTTCAGAAAATCTGCTAATAAAAACTTGAGAAATCTGTTGCTACCTTGCAAATTTGTCAGTGAATCTGAGCGAGGGATCGGCACTCAGCGTCTGCAGGAAGGGCCGAGTCTTCGTGGGGGAAGGTTGACGTTTCCATGGGCTGACCTCACGACCTACGACCTCAGGGTAGATGACACTGGAAAGGTCACTGTGGGGTCAAAGTTTAAAAAAAATTGAATACATAATTAAAGACATGAACACAAATCAAGATTTACGGTTATTATTGATACAATTAACACAGTTTTGTGGGGCACAGAGATTCCTACGCATAGAAGATACTTTCTTAGCAAAAACGATCACCAGCCAAAGCGTCATGCAGTGTCTATTGGTTGTGACTGGTTCCCTGCCAATTTTCAACCTTCATATCACATCCTGTTTAGGGAGATTTTGTTGGTACATACCCAAATGTAGACTTTGTTCTTGGGGTGATGGGCGTGCCGACAAAAGGTTCCATCGTGGGCAAATCATCTTCCAGCTCCTCAGTAACACTGAGGTTGAAAACACAAGACAGAGAAAAGTGTCTTTAAAATGGACATCATTCAATAAAAACACATACCTGCCAGAAAGTACTGAAAAATTCAGTGTAAAGAAATTTCCAGGAGAGAAAACATTAGGTGAAGTTGGTTTGGCAAAACAACCAATACACAATGGTGTTCAATACAAAAGTAATGCAATCAATATTGCAAGTCAATGCTGTCTGAATGTTGCGATAGTAGTCGAAGTTGTCTTCTTTGACAACAATCTTAAAATAAGGGTCAGACCTTATTCTCAAACACAACATATACAATCAGTTAACTGAAGCTGGTTTGCAAAATATGGAATCCTGTCTAAAAACCTTGACGCGTTGAGAGAAAATGAATTTTTCAAACTCTGAATATCTGATATTTTTCAAACCGAATACTCAAAGATTTAGTATTTTACTCCTGGAACTACTCAGTTGTTGTAACTACCTCATTTTTGTCGGTGTTTCGTCCTGTCGGACCTGGGCCCTTGCCTCAGCGATGCGGTCCAGCACAGCATTGATGAGCATTGCGTTGGAGAGGACTTTCGCTGTCTTGGCTGGATTGACCACCGCAGAGAGGGGTTTGGGTCTGCTGACTGGAGGAGTGAAAACACAAACCAACAAATCAATACAGGACTGGCAACATCAGGAAACGTTCAAATCTCTTTAATTACTGAGAAGCGGCGTGTATCACGTTTTCGAAACAAACTCGTCAGTTGTACCAATGGCTTACTTTCTCTACGGATGAGAGTCGATCTACGGACGGAGGTCTCCGGGCTGAAAGCCAGCCTGCGTTGGACCGGTGGGAGGAGTCTGGCGTAACTCTCGACGATGGCGTTTCTGGCCGTCGCCCTCTCTCGGGCCGCTGGGTCTGGGTCGGCCTAACCAAAAATAAACAAACAAACAACGAATAATCAACCAAATGAAATTTTCTTCGTGTTGGTTTACAATGCCAGTGTAGATCATGCAAATTGTTACGGTCAGTTGGCAGTGTGGTCATAGGTAATTCTCAGCTTAGGTCCAATCTCAACTGGGCCCGAGTTCATAGCGCTGCTTAACAGCCAAATTTGTGCTTACAGAGCCTCTATCTATTTCATAGGACCGTTAAGCAGTAAGCACAGCAAAAGCCGCTTAACCCCAGAAAAAAAAACTATGCTTAAATCAGTGACGTCACAATAGAAATCTCCATGCGCGCGCAACCGTTTGCATGAAATAGTGCTTAAGCAGCAGCATGATTTTCTGCTATAGTAAGCACAACTTTTCGGCTTACTGTTAAGCAGTGCTATGAAATTGGGCCCTGGGGCTTTCAGGAGCAAGTAGCCCTAAGCAGGGTACTTTACTGCAATTTCTTGTGACAGTTCAGTGAGATGAATGCCAGTTAGCAATTGTGAGAATCTTTTACGAGCGATTCTTTTCTTATGCATAGAGTTTAAAGTTGCGTCCAAAATAAAAGTATTAGACAATTCAGTTCACAGTTACCATGAGCCCCTGCTGTTTGAGTTTCTCGTTGAGTCGTATGGCCTCCACGTAGCGGGCCCGCTGGAGGAAATGCATGATGAGCAATTCCTGGGAGTTTGGCTCGGTGGAGTCTTGCAGGTATCGCTCCAAGATTGCCTCCTCTTCGTCGTCAAAGGGAAGCTTGAGGAGCTGATCAACTGTCTTGGCTGATGATAAAATAAGAATATGTGATGCGATCAAGCTAAAATGAGTCGTTTGTAAGGAATTTTCATTTGGAGATTCAGGCCAAAATAGGACCACTTCATCACATCTCTTGGTGTTCCGACTTCCATAATTTTTGAACTAAAGATGGTATCAACATGCGGTTTTCACAGCAGTAATGCTGAGATTGTGCTCTTTTCAAATCTGTAAGAAAAACAAAAGGTGACCAGGGTCGACAAACGACTCATTTAGCTTGATCGCATCACATATTTGTTTACTAATTCTCTCAGCTTTTAGGAATAGAATGTCCTGACAGAATGTTCTGAATAGAATAACAAAAAGAATGTCCTGTTCCTATCTGGAAAATAATATAAGAATTCAGAATTAACCTTCAAACACATACATATCTTATTCATAAATATCTTACAAACTACAATAATATGTCAAAACAAGTCAGTTACACTTAGAGCAAATTTCAGAGAGAGACTTACTTTGTTGTGAGCCTAGGATGAGATGAGCCAGTAATTCTTCTGTGTTAGCCTCGTCTCGGTACCGGCGCTGGAAATGGAACGCCTCAGAAGTCAAACTGAAAAGAAAGGTTGGGGTCAAAAATCATTATAATTACAGAAATTGTAATATTTAAAAGAAAAAAAAGGATATAAAATTTCATGCAAAAAGACAGTTTTGACAACATGCTGGTAACATTTACAAAAGAAAATCACACAGGAAACTACTGCAGCCAAACTGTTTTCGTATGTTTAGTTTGAGTAAAGTGGTGGGAATATGTTTAACTTCTACTTTTCGGAAACTCACCCGTTTGCAAGGAGTACCGTCAGGTACAGCTTGACGTCGTCTCGCGTTGTGAGAGGCGGACGTGCTGTCCGGACGTACTGCAACGCTTTCTTGCTCTCGTTCTGATACAGGAATGCCTTGATGATGTGACGGTGTTGCCAAGGGGCCAGTTCAAGGGTCGTGGTGGGGTCAAGGAGCATGTCTATTGCATCCTGACGACGAATAATCAAATGTTAGGACAAAAGAATCAAATTCAACTCAGCAATAATTCTCTATCTTAATTTCCAGATAATTCTGCAAACTATACAGAATTCTGGCCTTTGTCATTGTTTGAATGTTCGCACCAACTTACTTCAAATTCTTTCCTATCCAGTAAAGAGAAACCATGTAGGAGTTTTGTCACGCCAAGAGGAAGGGAAAAACTCTGGCAGAATTTGTCAATCCGCCTCCCGAGCTGTTGAGGAAAAAAGAGGTGACAGATAAAATCTTAAAATTTCCTAAAAACCCTATACTGACATCTTCAGATAAGTCTACAAATTGTGTTGTGAAATTTTGAATAATTATTAATAACTATCGTTTACCTCCTCTTTCTGCGCAGTTGGTAATGGCGACACATGCAGAATGTCCATCAGGAAGTATCCCACAATGCAATGCTTGGTTACCACGGGAACAGTGTCAACCAAGTACATGTCCAGCAAGGCCTACGTAAAGAAACCGTTAAATAAGTATTGATGACTCGCCATAACAGTAACTTGTATTTATCCCTATTTTCTAAGCAATACACATCAGACAATTTTGGATGAGTACATTATACAAAGCACAACTTGCAGACCAAAATGTTATCTCCGATAGATAATGCTAAACGGTCACTGAAATGGGTATTTTTTATGCGAGGGTTATACTTACATGGAAACTCGGGGGCGGGTACAGACCGGTACCGCCTTCCTCCTTGCGATCCCAGAGAGTGGTGAGTTGGGAACCAATCTCGGAGACGAGGCCGTCAATCATTAGAATGTCACTGTCACTGTTATGTCTGTTTAAGGTGAAGCATAAACAGGATGGCACAAACATTAAATCAAATCTCTCGATATAATTAATCAAAAGTTGTGAGGGGTAAGTGGGGGAGTGTGGCCCAGTGGTTAGGGTTTGTGACTCATGATCGGAGGTTCAGAGGTTTGAATCTAGCTGCTGGCAATATGTTGTGTTCTTGGGCAAGCCACTTCAACTCAATTGTCTCTCTCCACCCAGGAGTATAAATGGGTACCAGTATTAGCTGGGGAGTAACCTGCGATCGACTGGCATCCCATCCGGAGGGGGGGGGGGGGGAATAGAAATATTCACAGTCGTGTCATGCTACTGAAACCGGAGATAAACGCCGGCCTGATGGGTCATATTGGCTCATGACAGACTCTACTACTTTTTGCAAGGGATAATGTACTACTGATATCATTTGGAGACCCAATTATCTCCCAACATACGTCGAGGATATCAAAATCTTAAGACTTGATTTCTGCAAGTATACTCTCTTCGTGGGGGTACAGAAACATAACGAATCTTACACAGTACTGAATTTGTTTTTATCTCATTCCATCTCAAAAACAAAGCTACTTACAGGCACAGTTTCTGGAGTTGTAGCCTCCGTCGGGCGTAAATCTTCCTCAGACTCGCCGCTGGGTAGTAGAACTGGCCTTCCAAAAGATCGCTCTCATCTGTCACGTCAAAAACATGGACAGATTTGAAACAAAGTTTTGTTATTCTTTTTTGTCTCTTTGACAAAAATTTCACAAGTCAGTTTTAAATAGCTTCTTGAGATCACTCGTGAACTATCATGTTACGATGAACAATTTTTATAGGATGACACCTTCAAACAACCTTCAATTCCACAAAGTTTGGAAAATTAAAATATATAAGATGCTTCAAATTAGGTTTTGCCCTTCACCGACGTTTTTTAAACACTGTATACTCAGTGTGTTACCTCCCGAGTGAAAGTTGGAAAAAATCACTCGGGTGGGACTCGAACCCACGACCTCCTGCTTTCTAGTGCAGATGTCTTACCACTCGACCACCGAGCTAACGGGATCGGTTGGCCGGTTCGAATCTGATGCTTACCGTGGCATTCTGGGAGCAGTCCACTCCGGACGAACCATATAACAGCTTTCAGGTGTTGGTGGATGAGCATTACGACGTTGCATTTGGTTTCTAGATCCTTCAAACCTAGAATGGAGTGACGGAGTGAAGGAAATAAAAGATCAATTTTAAATCAAATTTAGTGAGTAAATTTCACTCATTGGACCTCGTAATGTACAGCTTTAGAATTATAGAACACTTGAAACTTTCTTCCTAGAAAAAAAAGGATGCTACCAGAGTTAAAGTATTTGATGAAATGTCAGACCCTTAGTTTAAGCATTTCGAAAAGATTAGTGCTGCTGTTTTTATCTCTGTTGAATAAATTCTTGGCATTTATTAATCTAAATCAAATTTTTACGGGCATTCAATTTGTTCCAAAATTAAACCTTTAAAATGTCCAACACAACTTTTCTAAAGGTCACTTATTTGAATGGAACCTGGAAGAAATATATTTAAACAAAAACCAATAAATAAAAAAAAATAAAAAAAACATTAAGAAAAAAAAACACCCCACATATCGCTACAAATACCTTGTTCTGTGGTAGTAGCTGACTGGTCAAGCAATGATTGGATGATAGTGATCATGTGACCCAGCCGCACTGCATTCTGGTCTAGCAATCGACGTGTTCGGTCATCGACATGGGTGCCTTCACCATTGTATAATGGAATGCCTACAAGAAAATATTGAAATTTACAAACAATTTCTGCTTGAGTGGTCTGTTTCCTCACAAATATAAACTACCGTTTTTCAAAAACATTTGATATTTTTGTTTACATATTCATTTACCTGTCTTAAAAAAAACAGACATAATTACCAGCGCCTTGAGTACCTAATTGTTGGTAGATACGTGCACTATATAAGACTCAGGTATTATTATTACATTGAAGGTATCAAGTGTGCATAGTCTGGTCTCTTGACTTACATATATTGTCGATGGACTGCTTGATGCTAGTTACCAGTCCCCACGCCCAGTCTAAAATGGTTCTCAAGTTGCAGCCGGAAGGAAAATCTACAAAAATAAAATAACTATAAATATTCACATCTTGATTTTAAAATTTACAAAAAATATATCTATGGTGTATGCCCAGTTTTGAAAGAAACTTGTGATGAATTTCAAAGATTAAGATGGGCATTTCCAAACAGTTTTTGCATCAAACTTCAAAGTCTGTTTCTGAATTAATAATCATAATAGACATTTATATAGCAGGGTATCAAAGCGCTTTACAATTATTATTACCCCTGTTCAACGGGCAAACACTCCTTAAACCTTCTGAACTACCTATGGAGCATACACAGCCGGTAGGCAGCCATTTCGGCGCCCTTGGCCGTCATCAACCTCTCACAGTAACCAACACTGCCCTCACAGGTACCATGTACTCCTGGGTGGAGAGAAGCAATGAGTGACAAAGTGCCTTGCTCAAGGGCACACGCACCATAACCCCTGACTGGACTCGAACCCACAACCTGCAGAATTACCCGCAGACCACAAATTCAATGCTCCAGACCACTAGGCCACGGCACTCCACAATTACATAAATGGAATAAAACTTCTACGACTGTTGGAATATTTTTCACGATACCTCCGTGGGTCCAACTATTGATGCATTGGATGACAAAGCCGAGCATGTTGTGTTCTACAGCGACGGTTAGCAACGCCTCACGTTGACCTTGCTGCAAGTACAGAAAAAAAATGAAACTTTGAAAAGACCAGCTTTTATTTTCCACAGTAAAAATTTTCAAAATTATTCACTTAAGGATTAATCTAAACTGGACCTTGAAATCAAAACTGTACTTTCAAGCACATCTAAAATAGATACATGCATACATGCACTAATACATTCCAAATAGCAATTTAAATGTAACCTTTGACCTATGAAACAGACCATCTTGGGCCAAGTTCAGGCAAGGACCATTAGTCGACTAGTGGTTGATTTGTGACGTACCTTACGCCTGCGCACTGATAGCAACGTGCGAACGTCTCTAGTCAAACGCTGGTCAAATTGTCATCGCCAAACTTCTGGATCCTAGCTCTCTGCTAGCGTTATGAATGCGCGCGGCTATTGGTTACCAGCGAAGCAACCAACCCCTGTAGGCTGGTTCCAAATAGTCGACTAGCGTAGTCAACCATCGTTGACTAGACAGAGTTAGTCGACCAATGGTTAACTATAGTCCTTGCGCGAACTTGCCCTTGGTTTTTGTTTTTATCAACAATACACTACCCATTGTTGCACACTTATTAAAATTGGCTCTTTGTGTTTCGGTTTTTAAAAAAAAATTCTCAAAGAAAAACCAAGAAAATATAAACAGAAAGATTGTAAGGCATACTTTATGCACGCCATCAACTGACTCATGAGTTGTGGGACAGACAGAAAGACAAACAGATAGACTAACGGACAAGCTAATTGACTCACAGCGGTGGCATTAGCGGGTCCTTGGTCCGCAGCACTTCTCTTGGGAAGCAAACCTGCTAGCCAGCATCGATTGAAGAAAAGCTTGGGTTCACGCAAGGCCGGGGGCCCCTGCTGACAAAGGTCTGCTAAAACCTGGATTAAACAACAAATTTGAAAACTTTCAGAAACTTTCAATTGTTTTTGTTAGACATCTTGAAAGGATTGAATTTCTGAGCCAAGATGGCTGAGATGTAAGGGGTTGCTCTAATAAAAATTACCTGTTTCTGTTGTCCAAGGAACTTAGCGTTGACCAGCCCCGCTTCCATCAAGCAGGTCACGTTGAAGCTAAGAGCCGAGGGTTGGAAGTGTTGCTCAGGGGCCGGTATGTGGGAGGACACGTAGGGGACGATAGAGGAAGGGTTGATATGTAGGTCCTGAAAATAAATATGGGAATGAAAATAATAAAGTCATATGTTGATTTGGATCTTGGCTGTGGTTCACTTGAGTACAAACCAGCAGTATAAACATGTGATGAACAACATTGACTCGAGCAAGATTTTAGTTACTCATTTTCTACTTGATTTTTTTTTCAACATCTGTATTTTTTTTCAGAAACACATGCAGGTTTGGGATCTTGAATTCTAAGTTTTGCTCAAGACAGTCTTACCGTGAGGAAGTCAGGAGACGCAGCTTGGATGATAGACTCCAAGGAGTAGAAAGCAAAGAAGGAACAGCCTTGTTTCCCTGGTAACGTCCTGCCAACAAGAACACAAACATAGAAGTGCTGATTTGAAAATGTTCACCAAGACCTTGGACGAATTAATACCTATCCACCCTTCCTAACAAGCTTAAGTCAGGAACCATTATTTTTGTTGGGGGGGGGGGGGGGGGGGTGGGATGGGGGATGGGATGGGTGGGGGGGGGGGGGGGGAGTCAGGTTGGTGCAGTGGTATTTTCCTCATCTTTCAACACTGTGACCTATGTTCGAATCTCGCCAAGGCAACGTGTGGATTGCAGGCATGCAACTGTGAATTAAGAGAAAAACGTGGAAACTCCAAACCACACAAGACTTTGTACAGTATTTTTCAATATTTAATGGCATTCATGAGAAGTTAAAAACAAGGAAATCAGCGGATCAGAGGAAAAGTTGCATGCCTGGGATTGGATTTCATTTGCTCTCGGCTTCATTGGGTTTGCCTAGAATATTTATTTGGGGTTTATCTCCCACAACTAAATCCACACATTTCTTCTACGTCGTATCTCTAAATACTAAAATAAAAAACAAATAGTCAAAAATAAACAATTTACCTAATTGCTCTAGGCATTTGCGCATGGTACCATCGGTTGAGATCAAACAGGGCCAGGAAGCAGCTACTAGATTCCTGGCCGTCAGCGGGATCAGAACGAGCCTCCCACACGAAGGCTGCAAGACCTAGGTCCAATCGCTCTCCTAAAGAAAATGAAAGAATCAAACATAAATTATTGACAGGGCCCAATTAAATAGCTCTGCCTACTCACTCACTCGCTCACTCTACCGCATAGACATCTGGGGTGCGTTCGAGCGTGTTACTCTTGCTACCCCCAAGTGCAGGAAAATGTTGCGTGCGCATAACTCTCGGTGCAGGAGTATACTCCCGGTATGAGGGAGAGCATACTCTTGCTAACCCGCGGGTCATACTCCTGCCGTTCGGGCGCTCAGGAGTATACTCGTGTTATTAACATGAGTAGCACGCTCGAACGCACCCCTGGGGTCTGTCGCGCTGATCTCCTGTGTCCGTGGTTTGTAGCCTGGTTTCGGAGCCTGTCAACCTTGCTGGCTACCAGGGCAAATAATCATTGCTAAATACAGTAGGAAATTCTGTGCAAACAATAAACCTTAATTAATTAATTTTGAGCTATCAAAATGCACTTACATTACAAATTTTGTAGTCATTTTATTGACAACTAATGTAAACTGTTCGGAGCATCCGATGTCAGACCGTGTGTATCCCATAACTAAGGATTCTGTGCTTACAGAGTAAGTGCAGCAATTCTGTGCTAAGGCTGTGTCCAAATCGCATGTCTAGGGCTATGTCTAGGTCTTCCTCCATAAACAATTACACAAAAACATGCTGACAATAGTCGTAGCCGTTCGTCTGGAGGCTAATTTTAGACACAGCCCAACTTAACTGTATGCACGACTTTGAAACTGCAAAACATGCAAGATTTAATTGGTTGAACTAAGGAAGGGCAATTAAACAAAACCTGACTTCTTATGGCCTAATGAGAAAGGAATAAGTTGAACAATGAACTGAATTTATATAATCACCTTCATCTTCACCACACATGGAGTCTTCATGCTTGACGGCACCCGGTGCGATCTCCTTGACCAATGGGAAGCAAGATATGATACGACTACCCTCCGAGGTTCGGTTGGGAACGTTGAACGGATCCAGGGTAAGGTCGTGGAGAAACCGTGCCTCGCAGCTAATCAGCTCCTGAGGAGTATCATTGATAATTTGAGGTTTATTTGTGGAAAGTTGATAAGTTTGCAGCTGAGTGCTGGACATATCTTTAACAAATTTGTGGTTGATTTGTGGATATATTATAATCAACTCCTACGGAAGAATAGTTGACAAGTTGGAGGTTTTTTTTGTGGAAAGTTGATAATTTTGCAGTTAACTTTTGGATAAATCTTTGCTCACAAGTTTGTGGTGGATTTGTGGATATATCATTATCAACTCCTAGGGAAGAATAGTTGACAAGTTGGAGGGTTTTTTTGTGGAAAGTTGATAAAGTCTGCAGCTGACTATGGGATAAATCTTCGTTGACAAGTTTGTAGTGGATTTGTGGATATATACTTTTTAACTAATGATAGGTTGATTTGCAGATATATTTGTTGACAAATTTGTAATTACACATACAGATACCTAGACATCAAATTTGACTTGTTAGTGGTTGATAATATGTGGATAGACAAGTATCATTTAAATTGCTTATAAATATTAATTTGTAGCAGTTGCTTCAAAAACCTGTTTTGCTTATCTATGGACATGGATCAGCGTGAAACATGGGACTTTTGGTGCAATTCTTACCCTGTAGAGGTGTCCGTAGTTCTCATGGACTTCTTTCTTTGCATACATCAGCTGGAAGAGGTGCAGATTTGTAGGGACCTCTTGACTGAAAAAAAAACAGAAGAAAAAAATTGATAAAAATGTCAACACGCCTTGATTACTTTCAAGTTGCTGGAAAGTTTTCAGCGGAGATGTGGTCAACCTGGTGCAAGATAGGCAAGAGTGTTTTCCTAGTTTGCCGCTTTATCAATGAAACTGCAGGTGGCGTTTATCAAATTTTGTAATTCTTTTAAAATAAATTTAATCCCCTTTAGGGTGTGGCATTGTATTGAGGGTGTGGCATGGGACCCCACCCTAAAGTCTAATTCTATATAGAAGTATTTTTGGAAAAAAATGTTGCAACCTGACGCCACTTCAGCGGTTGTGTACAAAGTCTATGGAGAGTCAAGAAAATTTTCGAAGTATTTCCTAACAAAATTGGAAAAGGTTTCTCAGTCCCAGATTCATGTCTTATCATCATTTTTGAAATGAATGACCTTCATTGAGGTGATATATGAAGAAAAAAGTGGCGTCAGGTTGCAACATTTCTTCCGAAATTTTGTTCATCAAAGTTGTCACAAGTTACGTGCTGCCTATGTATTCCTTCCCAGTGGCAGAAAACGGAAGCTTGGAACACGACAAAGCTGTTTTGCTGCCAGTGGACATCTTTCCATCAATAGAGGGCGCTTTTTACACCGACCTGACCCAAGTAACTTACTCGACATCGATGGCCTGGGGTCCTCGCCCGACCCAGAGGTAGCTGAAATTCTCAGGGTCATCCTCTGGCTCTTGGTAAGCGAAGTGGGTGACGGGGGAAGACTGCTTGGACAATGTGCTGCTGTATCTGTAAGAAGATAGCAATTATAGTTTAAAGTTAAGCCACGTCTAAAGTAGGCACTGTTGTTTATGGCCCTTCAGAGTATCTTGCTTAAGGCAAAAATGAAAGACGTTGGCACAAATGCCCAATTAGACAAGGCATTATTTTTCGCAAAATCTTGCATAATTTAAAAAAAAAAATGTCCAGGTGTAATGAGTACATATCTTAGTTATGTCTCACCTCTCAAAACTTTGAAATTAAGCAAGTCAATTTCCACATTGGCCCATCAAAATATTATCCGCTCTGTTCACAAGTACCCCCTCACCGGCAAACATAGTACAGTTGGGGGTGACCGACCGACGCCATCTTGCCTGACTGCAATTATGCCGCGACGCGCGGCCACCGCTAGTACTGCGTGTACATAGTACAAATCCCCTGGGGTACGTGTGTCACACACAAGGAACGGTGCGCGTCAACCAGCGAAATGTCCCGCCCATGGGACGTCGTAGCTAGGTAAAAGGGCGCCCTCTTTCGTTGGTGCGCGGAGCCCATAGGACCGACCAAAGAATGTCTGTTTTTGCCCAACGCATGGATCTTTTTATAGAAAACAAGGCTTTGCATCGCCAGCAACGCAAGGGAGGCAGCTTCGTTGCCTGTCTCCTGCTTCACAGGCTAGTCACCCACATGTTGGACGTTTGCCTACTACACGGGCAATCAACTTTTCCATAACCCTAACCGCCCTGAATCCTTCAAAGTCCTCTGTGCCAAAGTGAAGGAATTTGGAGGATTGAGGTTACATGGCAAAAGTGTGTTACTGATTTTGTAGGATGCACTTTGTCAAGGTCTTGGGTCAGACCTTGTGTTGTTTTTGCTCAGCCATGCATAAATATAGGCCCGGATTGTGCTTGAAATCCTCTGTACTGCTCCAGGATGTCACTGGCCAAGCCTCAACATATTGACAGTCACTACCGAAGGATTTTGCAGGATTCAGGCAGTGGTCACCCCTCCACGGACCATATCCAAGAAATAACGGAGGAATTTGCAGGGGCTACATCCTAGCAAAAAGGCCTAGGGAGTTAGGGTTAACTAAGGAACATCTCGTGAACCCCTACATACACATACGTTATTGTGTCCACACTGATTTTTTTTGAGATGGTATTCATTCCCAATTAAAATAACTCTTTAAAATCAGACCGAGTAAAGTAGACTTTGTAACCGTTATAGTTGTCAAATATAAATTTGAGAAAAGTTGACACATTATTTTTTTTTCACTTACTCAAGCACCGGTACGGAAAGTTCCCAAAGTTGGAAGCAGCCAAAGCTGAAGCCAATGGCCAAGGTACCAGTCTGTTTGAGATAGGATAGACTGGTAACGGACACCTCACTTGGGTAGAAACTCTTCAATACAGAGTGGTCTGGTTTCCTGAAGCTGAACGACCGGAAAGAGTGACTGTCCTCTGTATAGAAAAGAAAAAGGATAATAAACTACATGTATTCCCTTAACCAGTTCGCGCCAGGGTTATTTTGACAAGAACGGAACGAGGTGTAGGAATACTTTTCACTCGACCTCAAGCCAGGCGGGTTGAAGCCATCACCCTCGGGCAGCACACTCATATTTCCGACCTAGCTCGCTGCGAGCGGGTCGCTGACAGATATTTCCGGCCTCGCTCCCTGCGTGTGTATCCGTCATCCGTTCCGAATACCGCAAAACCTTTGCGTGTATACACGTCATCCGGCGCTAACTGGTTAAGGCATATAAGATCAGTTGCTTTTCATGCATTTTGTTCGTTTCCAATAATAACACCACTCGAAATCCAGAGAATGTTCAAAACCTAACCTGTTGAAGTTTCAGCTCAGTAGATAATACAGTTTTTGAGAAAACAGTGGAAAAGCCATGCACAACCTTTTGATCACGAAACATGATTTTGTCTACACAACACTCTTTATTTCCAACAATCAGTCAATTGACTGATCGTTGGAAATCACCTACATTTCTTGATTTCTTTTAAATGACAGCAAGCCAGACGGAATGATTTCACGGGATGTTTAGTACCAGTACAATCTTTAGTCCACGTAAGCTTTTGAATAATATCTCAGTAGGTTACTTTTGGGAAAAATGCAAATGATCCTATATGCCTTTAAGCGAACTAAAGTAAGGTTTTTGGACTACATTTAAAGAGGTTGTGGAATGCTCGAAGTCATTTCTGTCATTTTTCGGGTATATGTAGCCTAAGGTGTGATGAAATAAAAACGACTATTGTTTCTGTCATAAAATGAGTACAAAAGGTACTTTTGAGAGTTGTTTTTCAAGTCCTGTCATGCCTGTTTCGACCCGAACGTGCAATTTGTGTAAAAGTCGTCGTTGCGGGAAGCAAACAAAACACAGTAAATCGTCACGTAATAAACAGGACTCCCGATGAAGAGTAGCATATACGAGTCCTGTTTATTACGTCACGATTTACTGTGTTTTGTTTGCTGCCCGCAACGACGACTTTTACACAAATTGCACGTTCGGGTCGAAACAGGACCTGAAAAACAGCTCTCAAAAGTACCTTTTGTACTCATTTCATGACAGAAACAATAGTCGTTTTTATTTCATCACACCTTAGGCTACATATACCAAAAAAATGACGGAAATGTCTTCGAGCATTCCACAACCTCTTTAAATATTTTGTCTGTACAATAAATTGATAGTTGGGACAATCCCATCTATATTTAAGCATTTACTATTGTTGGAACGTACCAAGGAAAAATATACTCACCATCCAGATGCAAGCACAAGTGCTCCCCTTTCCTGGCCGCTTTCTCTCGTATCGTCCCGATGTCCGTCGACCTTGGCGATATGACCTTTGACCCCCTGGCCGTGACCTCATCACATGACTCACTGTCATCCAATCGGAGGTCCACGAGGTAGGTGTGGCCCCCTTCTGTTCCCACGGCGATAATTCCAAAGAAAAGGCGGAGATGTTCGCCCAGGGCAAAGCTGGGCGTGTCTAGGCCACCCACAGAGGTTACCGGCTCAACTGCTGTTACCTGAAACAAAAATATTTAGATAAAAATATTTTGTTTTCAAATATGAAAATATTTTGTTTTCATTTATTAAAATTATTTTTTTTATACATACCAAGGTTATATATACAATAGCCAGCTCAAAGCAAATAACATTTTACACTACCGGTAGTAACCCTTTTTTTTCCAAGTTTGAAGCCTGATTCAACTTACCCCCTGTGGAATATCAACAGCCAAGACTACTTTGGAGGTGTGTGGGTCAAATATGCAGAGCATTCCATCATTGGATCCAGTCTTCAATCCAACAATAAGGTTGGTAGCACCTTTGCATCTGCCGAAGAAAAGTTTTTGAAAATTGTAAAAAGATTTCTAAAGTTTAGGGGTTAATTTTCACTGAATGTAGTAAAGAACTTTCTTTAAGGCCAAAAAACCCCAAACTATTCGGTCTCTGGTCAGCGCGCGCGTCGATTTTAATCATTTTCCAAAATGTTCCGCGGTAGCTTCAACAGCGCCCTCTATTGCCGCACCTTCTCAATTTCTTTTACCAACGAGCACCAAGGAATGGGAAATTCCACCGAGGCAAATGATCGAGAGCACCAAGGCAAATTATGGAGGACACCAATGTACACAAGGCCATCAAAAAGGCAAAATAGTACCCCACCTTGTCTGTACAATCCAAGCTTGAAGGAAAAAAAAAAAGCCGCATCGCCGCATCAATTCCGGAACTTAGGTCTGACCAAAGACCGAATAATGTTTTTGTTTGGCCTAATCTAAGATTTATATTTAGGGAAATTTATGTCAACATCAACCAAAATAGCAACAAACAGAATGGAAGGAATTAAGACTAATCTGTGACATCCTAGAATATTGGTTTTTTTTAATACACAGCGTTCACAGAGCTAAAACTTCATCAGGTTAGTGGTTAAGCACCGTTCTTTAGATTTTTAGCACTTTTGTTGCTTCAAATGTGTTCTACCTTTTAAGGTTGAAAAAAGTTTACTGACCTGTATTCTTTGACACATGTGATCTGCACACCATTCGCACCAACTGCACGGCCAAATTGGAAAGCTGAACGCCTGTTTCCAGTGACATTGTCAACGACTTCGAGAACAGAGTGTCGTGCCAGCCACGACCATTGCCCACCTTTAAAAAAAAAAATGGGGAAAAAAATGTATAACTGGTTCATTGAAAGAAACTAAAAATTATCCAATCATCAACGGATCATTTAATTAATCGAATTACACCGCCGCATAGGCTTGCGTGGTCATCCAAAAACTACTGAAATATCCTTGTCTTGTTCCCAGACCCATTTTCTTGAAACTGAATTGTTCTGGAGTCTAGTGTGCTGACTGGAAACTCACAGCTGACGCGAGAAACACATTCGATGACCACTTATCAGCAAATGAATAGATTTTTTTCATCCACCAATGTAACAGATGAAAAAAATCAGCTGGCAGCACCTTTCGTGAAAAAAAGTTTGGCTTGTCCCCAAAGAAGTGTATATAGATAACCTTCTTTTAAAAACAAAGCCCGGTACAATTATGATTCTTCCTGAAAGGTCAAATAGGGAAAACAAAAATATAAAACCTACCGCTAGCACAGCCTCCAAACATGCAAGACCGCCCGGTTGAAACGATGTCTTGGAGTGCTGCAAGTGTAGGAGTGCCTAGCGGCTGGACGTTGGAAGTCCAATGTGCGTTCATTTGTAGAGCCATGTTCTAGTTTACTTCAGCTGAATGGAGACAACACTGTCGTAGGCCTATCATTTATCAAGGAGAAAGATTGATCCTGAATCAATTTTGTTGCTGGCTGTAAATTTGTAATATTTAATTCAATTTTTTTAATCATTATTACTAATAGTTATAATGATTAATAAGAGTAGAATTTCCAGTAATGAATAGAGCTTGAGTTTCTCAACTTCTCAAGATATATTTATTTTTGCATGAATTAATTATAACCTGTTCATCTAAAAATAATGAAAAAGAGAAATATATAAATTAGAGCCTAAGTAGACCCTGTAACAAGTACGAATAAATGTATAAAAAAAAAAAAAAATGGGGCCCAGCCAAGACCAATAGCACCTCCAAAATAATCTTGATCGTTACTGGAGAGATTAAAAGTTTCATGGGTGTCAATTGGTGGTGGAAAGGGAACGGTGGGGGGGGGGGGGATCCCCCAATCCCCCGCCGCCACTTTTTAAAGTGGGAAGGCAGAGATATAATTTATATTAATATCAATTTATCTCCACAACTTTTTAAAGAAACATTTAAACCGCATGATTATTTCAAAATGAAATACATTTTGCAAAAACCCAATCCCCCGCCCCCACTTTTTAAAGTGGGAAGGCAGAGATATAATTTATATTAATATCAATTTATCTCCACAGCTTTTTAAAGAAACATTTAAACCGCATGATTATTTAAAAATGAAATACATTTTGCAAAAAACCTTTGCAACCCCCCCCCCCCCCCCCCCCACTTTTGAGGAGCAATCGACGCCCTTGATTTCAGTTGAAGAAGACTTAGTGTTAGTCCGACCCGTCAATCATTTAACTAACTGTTATTAAATGATTGACGGGTCGGACTTAACAGTGTTAAGTTTTTGAAAAATCCGCAAGTCAGTCATTTGCAGTGTGTACGTGTGTCGGAAAAGGCATCCCTAATCGTACAATCCTACACAACACTCGACAATAACGTTAAAATCAAATGGTTATTTATTCCAATTGCAGACGGCGTTCTGAGTGATCCGATCTTTGTATAGTTGGTGAAAGTGGCTCATCTGTTGTTTTTTTAATGTGAGGAATTGTCATTAAACACCACAATGAGGTTGTTCTTACCAAATAAAATCGGAAGTCATCTGTGCCTGAATTCGTACTCAACTGTCCGCCATCTCGATATCTCGCGAGAGCATGCGTGTAGTGCGCATTCATGAAATGCGCGCGCGCGCGTAACGACTATTTTATGTCTAAAATTATTTAACTATTTTCAGCAGTTGCCAGAAATGTACTCAACATTTTGAATTCAATTTATTCTGTGAAGAAACATCGTTTCAATTTCAGTGGGCATTATTGGTTTTTGTTTTCGCATGAAATCAATTGAATATTACTTAATTTCTGTCAGCGCCTACATGAGACAGCATTGTACTTCAAACAGCCGTTGATTCTCATTAGTAGACTTAACTTGATAGTCCCTTTTTATGTTGGAAAAAAAAAAAATCTCTCAAATTATTCTGTTCGGACACTTTTCTACATCTGTTTGGTCGAACAACTAGAAACTGACTTTAACATTATACTTACAATTATTTTGACTAAAATTCGTCATTGAAGTGTGTTTCAAGGCTGGATTTAATAAGTTGTCAATTTAATCGAACAGGTGGTCGTTGATGGCGCTATTTCGCCACACCATTAAAATCGTAAAACTGTTGGGCTTTATTTTTGGGCTAAGATGCACGCCCATCAGTTAAATTACTTCCTTCTTTTTTAACGAAATGTTGGGCTCGTTAGTTTGCATATTGGGCTCCAACATGTTCATTATTTGTACCGCAAAGGTAATAGCAAAAATAGGTCGGTGATGACCGAAACCACGACCGTGTTGACATTTCGGTGCGGCAAAGCAGGAAAAATCATCTCATCTTCACAACCGGCATGAGCAGAATGTGAAGACTTTAAACAGCGGATGCTTTCCAGTAAAGGTTAATTCAATTTATATCAAAAATCTCCCTGCAGGAAATCGAGTATTTGCTACGAGAACTGAAGCCAAAACACGCGAAATGGATAAGCTGGATGGTGAGTACAGATTTTTTTTTTGGCCACCGTGCGACTCACTCAGGCTTGTGTGGTCGTGCCGGGCGAGTCTATCTTGCTTCGGTCATGGAGGTAGGAGCTCCATGGTTCGGTGCACGCTGCCGCGGCTGCTGTTGTCACCGTCGTTGTTTTCTTGCCTGTTATGGTTGAATTTAGTGCATGATGCGTGAAGTTGAAAACTCAGCCTCTCTAACGTGTTTATATTAATTTATTATTATGAATGTTCAAGCACTTTTATTTTGCCATGTTTGCGTAAAGAGCTAAGCCTAAAGGAGGAAAGGGGGCGTGGTTAGGTTGGGCTGAGCCTCAAGCAAGCATTGGTTTGCATGTTGTTGTTTTTTTGCACTGGAAAAAATGAAAAGAACTATTATCCCGATTCACATCTTTTCATTTTATATAACAACAAGGATGGTCAGTCATGTTTGACCAAAATAAATGTAAATTTTTAGAATAAAAAATGTTTCCAATTTCGTTATAAAATACTTCAGGCCAAAATTACTGACCCAAATCAAAGTGACATCAGGATAAGCCTGCTAGGCCTACATTATTTCCAAAAAATGAACCATTCTTTAGCATTGCCGTTTTTTCAGTTTTCTTAACATAGGCCTACAACTGTGACTTGGATGAATGCAATCCAAAAATATGAGAGAAGAATAAAAGTGTCAATACACATGGATGATGAATGATGATACATGTTGAACTGGAAATACCTACAGAAAATAAGCACTTTCACATTATCTTGTTCACGGGGCAAAAATAACATGATTTGTTAGACTTAGGCAAAAACAACACGATTTGCTAGACTTCAGCGCATGTTGAAATGAATGCTTGATGATTTTGGAAGTGCGAAAAGGTTTTGATTTAAGTGCGTACTCAGCAACGCTTTTTTTTTTGCCCTGTGAACAAGATGGCGCATATGACGTTGAAAGTGCTTTAATCTTCCCCAACACCCTTCGCATTCCATTTTAAATCTAAATCTAAACCTACTCGGAGATTCCATTACAAAACAGCAAGTTTACTACGAACGGATAGTATCATACATGTACATGTATATATTAAAATGTTGTCTCTGAATTTGAGGGTAAAAGCAGAAAAATCCCCCCCCCCCCCAAATAGACTTGATTTTTGTTTTATTTGACAAGGCCCTACATCATTTTTACATGTACTTACAATTTTACATATTATAGCCTTACAATGTTCTTTGTACAGGTACAGAGTGTAAGCCTATTTATAATATGTAGGCTAACATTGTACAAAGAAAACTACATAATATTCACTGTATGTTTTATCGCTTACCGCTTTGGTAAACAATTAATTTTAAGGTACAGAGTACTGGTACCTATTTTGCACTTGACAGTATTTACATTGTATATTCACCGAGACACAAGTATGTTGTAAGTCAATACAAAGACCTGGTAATCTGTGCGCTGTTAAAGGGGGAGTTTCCCTAATGTTTCCCAATACACAATCTTCAAGAGTCGTGTATAAGTATGCTCACACAATGTGGGACTTTGGATAGTATTGATAATTAAGATATTTTTGTTAATTTCCCCCCCCCCAAAAAAAAAAACCTTCCCTGGGCATTTTTGTTAGGTCCCCTCTAGTCTTGATCCAAGACTCGGCAAGATTACCATATACGAAGTTCACTAATTTTCCTCTGTATTGACTATCAAAGTCAATTTGAGCAGTGAGAAAATACTTGAGCATTTTCTTAGAAAACACTTAGAATTTTTCAGTCCACTCTCATACATGTAGGGTTTGTACACAGAGTGTTGAGTGAACTTCGTATGGAAATCTTTCCCAAGACTCAGATTAAATTTCCCTTCTACAGCCAGTCCGTGACAAGCGAGGTCTCTCTCAACACGATGAATCAAATCCTGACCTTGGCAATATTGGCAGCGCTACCCAGGAAATTCCGAGCATATCTCATGCGCATGCATTAGCTTGAAAACAGCGCCCGTGAGGTACATGTATGCTTGGAATTTCCTGGGTAGCGCTGCCAATATTACCAAGACTGGATTTCATTTATCTTGTGGATAGAGACCTCCACCGCCATGGCAACTTAATCGTGTTTGTCATGGGACTGGCTGCAAAATAGGAGAATAAAAGTGCAGTTTTGGATCAACCCTAGTTCCCCTCCAAAATCCTCAAAATTCTGCCACTGTGCTCGAATCCAATGGCTCGTTCCTTGCACTTGAAACTTACAAAATGTAGTGTGGTACATGTACCGAGTTCCAGGAACTAGTGGGTGGGCTCTTCGTTCTTAAAATTACATAATCTCTCTAAATCTCCTCATGGGCGTTGATGGATTTAGAGGGGGGAGGGGGTTCAGAGCTAACATAAATAAAAATCACAATATCTAATAACCTAAACTGCTGTACTGGCAGTTTAACTTAGTTTGACAGTTAGGTGCAGGTTTATCCGGCAAAATCTGCAAAAATTCGAAAAACACATGATTTTATTTTATTATTGGTGGATTCAGGACCCAACATCCTACATGTAACTGCTATACAATGTACATGTATGTGCTAGGTCCTCCACATTATAAAAAAATTATAAGCCTGTACATTTGAACTTCTATTGATGAACCCTGCAGCTTCACGCATAAAATATCAACCCGCACCAGCTATTAAGATCAGGGTAAATAAAAATATGTAATTTATTTCAGATGCTTTCGCGGAAATTGCTGTTTGAGCATTATTCCTGCCCTTGCAACTAATATTCATCATGTACCGGTAACAGCATTGGCTCTCTGTTAAAGGGAATGTACATCATTGGCTTTTGCTGTAATTTTCAGAAATGAGCTACCGGTATTTGAGGGGTTAGTACATGTATAATAGATCAAATGTTGTTATACTGACATGTTTGAAGTTTTGTGTTCGAAAATGCTGGAAAAACCAAGAAAACAAAAATGTTCAAGTAGTCTGGTTCCTTGACTCCACCAAAGATAAAATGGATCAATTTATAGATGCCGGAAAATTGTAAGGTAAAGGAACCAGTCTAGCTGGCCTGCACCCGTTCATGAACATGTAACCAATAGCAAACAAAATTTGGACTGAAAAAAAGTGTAAAGTTGGAGCAGTAGTTGAAAAATAGTTAGGTTTTTCCAACGGTGGTCGGCCGACCACCGTTGGAAATGTATACAAAAATACCATTTTCTTGAAAATGACTTCACACCAGGTGCCATAATTTTACAGGATGCTTAAGACTGTCATTTACCAACATCCTAGTAAGGTTTTTCATAAAAACTTGGTAGTTTTATTTTTCGATGTTTGCAAATGTTGTATTTTCCCTTTAACAGTGGAGTGTGTAATTTTGTGTATTTTAAAACCTGCCACATGCTGCACTGCAATTAAGTAACAATCAAATGTTTCAAAATTTCGACATCGTCAAATATATTTGGTAATTTCAATGAGCGAAAATTGTTAACTAGTTGTAAAAGTTTATAATAAAGTGTTGCCCTCCTTTTGGGTCATAAATGAATTTGGTCATCACCAATGACTGCTTATTGGCTCACGGAAATGAGAGATGACGGCATTTGTTTGGATAATTGTCCGAGGCAAGCCTTGAGGAAGTTGGGTTCAGCTATCAGGAAGTAATACATAAACCAAACAACTTGCGATATGACCACTATTTATCACTTGGCAAGTTGCCATAAATGGGGACTTGAACTGGCGCTGACTTCTGTGAGCATGCCGGGAAAAAATATATATCCTTGTTTTTCTGCTTTTATAAAAAATGATTTGGGACCTTTTGGCCCGTAAAATTGGCTACGTATAGGCTACTCTACTGTAGATAATTTTAGAAATTTGCTAAGAAAAACCTGTTACCAGTCAACTTCATGCAATGTACATGTAATGTCTGTGACTTGTTCACCGCTGATTTTCGCTTAGCACACATTTACTAAACAATATTTTCAGTATTTTCATTATTTTTTTTTTTTATGGACAGTGTAAACTCGGTGTTGTCTGCATTCTTGTGAGAAAAAAAAATCAGAAACAATATTTGTTCCGTTTAGCAGCTCCATCATGGTCCAGTTGTAACAAACCCCATTTTAGGCCTATCTGTTATTCCTACCGGTAGTCTGAAAGCTACTGAGCAAATCCCCTACCATTCTCAAATCCATGGAATTAGTCTGATCAGAGATTTGGAATTGAGGGAATATTTATTCCCAGCAAAGATATTGACTGCACTGTCACTGCACTGCATTCGGAATCAAAGAGCAAAGAGTTCTTAATCAAAATCTCATGCTTATCAGGCTTCGTATACTGGGGAAAAAAATGGGCTCTATGACTTTTTTTTCTTCTGCAAAATTCCCATGAGGAATCCTGAACTTTCCATCAACACGCTTTTAAAAATTGTCAAAATTTTGCACATTCAGTACACCTACCGGTACCTTCTTCCCCTTTTAACAATTTGCTTTCGAAGCAGAAAAGCAGAAAAACACAACAGGATCACAACACAGCAATTTATTCACCTGACCGCAATTACATGTAAACATAGCTTGTTGAAACTGAAATGGCCTTTTCTAAACTACCTACCGGTAGGATATTGTTGTCATATCCGAAGCGGTTTGTTGCTGTTCTCCGAAGCCTTGGCAAGCCTCTGAAAAGACAATGGACAAACCATCTGGAGTTCATTTTGTGTACAGCCACATCTGTCATCGTTCATTGTGAAATTCTTAATTGTCCCAAACCCTCCCCAGGTCCTTCATACAAGGGTCCTATTTCATGATGCTAAGCACATTTACACATGTGGTTAGCGTGAAGCGTAATTTGTTTAGCAGAAAACAGTTACCAGCCAAAACATCATGAGTTATATTTGGCTGTGAAGTCCTGGTTCCCTGCTAATTCATGCTTGAACACACTCGCTTAATAGTCAAGTCAAGTAATCTTTATTATATCCCACAGGGGTAATTTAAAATGCTCGCATACAATAAAAACATCAAAACATTATAAAAAACAGTTACATAAACAATTCCA